GGATGTTGATAATCCAGAGGACGACAGCTTGTTGAACTATAGGGATGTTGCTTGAAGGTGTCGACGTGGCTGTTATTAGAAGGGATGCCTTGATCACAAGGCATCGGAGGGCGTATGTAACGGACGGGCCCGTTCTACTTCCTTTTTCGTAACATAAACCCGGACTTTATTTGAACTATGCTTATCTATGCACTCCACTCTTATCTACGTATAAATACTTGGTCGTGCATAGAATTACACGAGTCTTTCTTACCTTTCCCCCCCGAATCGAGGTGTCTTCAACCCGGTCCTTGATTCGTCCTTGTGTGCCGCTACCGACTATCATCGCTAACGTCACAGACTGTCTCTTTAAAAGCATGTCCATGTCCACCAATGTTTCCCCAGTCAGCTCACGATGGATCCCAACACACATCCAGTCAAGCTTACCCACTCCGCTTCCACCAGTACCTCCTCTCTCCCAAATAGTCCCATCGAGACCATTCACCACTCTCCCGAAAAGTCTACGGCGACCGTCACCGTCCTCGACGCCGAAAAACAGGTTAATCCATGGGATGGCTACGAAGAGGATGAAATGCCCGAAAAGACTCAGCCGCGCCTCGTGCGCAATCTACGGTTGCAGGCCTTCTCTATCTACCGCAGATTATTCTCAGTCGTGTTCTTGACAAACATCGGTATCTTCATCTCGTACACAATCCGCGGATATCATTCTCAGAAGATTGCACTCGTCGCGGTGGCGAATATCTTTATTGCTATTCTCATGAGGCAGGAGCACGTTATAAACGTGCTTTTCGCAGTTGCTTGTTCTGTTCCTCAGTCGTGAGTCTCTTTACCTGGTAGTCCTTGCAGTTGGCTGACGCGTTTTCTCAGATGGCCGTTCTTCATTCGGAAGACTGCTGCGAGAGTGTATCATAATGGAGGCATCCATTCCGGAGCTGCTGTTTCGGGTACAGTTTGGCTGATCCTTTTGGCCGTCCAAGCGACTAGAGAGCTTGTTCAAGGCAAAGGAGTACGTTTCCCCTCGAAGCATATGTCCACTTGACTCAAAATAATCGATATATATATCCAGACTTCAGTCGCCACCGTCTCACTGACGTATATAGTCCTTGCTTTCTTGATTGGGATCGTCGTGTTTGCTTACCCTACTTTCCGGATCAAACGCCATGACGCGTTCGAGCGCATGCATCGGTTCATGGGGTGGACGGCAACTGCATTGGTTTGGTCGCAGGTGAGGTTGTCCCTCACTCGGCTATCTACGTTCGCTCTGACAAATTGACTGCAGGTCGTCGTCCTCACCAACGATTACAAGGGTGACAAGTCCCTCGGACACGCGTTGGTGCACTCTGCTCCGTTCTGGATCATGATGGTCTTGAGCTGGTCCTTGATTCTTCCCTGGACGAAGCTGCAAAAGGTTCCCGTCCGCAGCGTCGTCCTCTCCGATCACGCTGTCCGTCTCTTTGTCGACTATGGCCAGTCTTTCTTCCGCCGTCTGTTCGACATCTCTGACTCCATTTCACTTAGGTCCACATCCCGTTCCCGGCTCTTTCCAGCGGTTCTCCACAGATCCGCTGAATGAATGGCACAGTTTCGCCACCATCGCTGCTCCTGGAGTGACGGGATACTCGATCATCATATCTCAGGCAGGTGACTGGACGACGGAGATGATCGCGAACCCACCGAAAGAGATTTGGGTGAGGGGTATCCCGACGTGTGGTGCGCTTCGGATTGTGCCTCTGTTCCGAAGGGTGTTGTTCGTTGCTACTGGCAGTGGAATCGCACCGTTTACACCTCATATTTTGAGTGGAAAGGTTGCGCATAAGCTGTTTTGGATGGCACCCAATACGCGTGCAACATTCGGAGACCCGTTGGTCGATGATATATTGGCAGCGAGTCCTGGAGCGGTCGTGTACGGTACGTGCAATGTTTCTTAGTTGCCGAAGGGATCTGACGAAATTGTCGAAGATACGCGGAAGCATGGCAAGCCTGATATCATCAAGCTCACGAACCGTATGGTGGATGATTACAAGCCGGAATGTGTCTGTGTTATCTCGAACCAGAAACTGACGGAGAAGGTTATTTATGGTCTCCGGAGTCGGGGTATCTTTGCGTTTGGGGCTATTTTCGACTCATAGGCATATTTCGATACCTGTTTCCTCTCGCTTAACACATGGATGCACGTTCAAAGCCCGATGTAAATTTATGCCCGTCACGTCTGCGACGTGATGATCGCTTCTTCAATTTGAACTCGGGTGCCTTTTGACCGATGAACCTTTTTAAGTTTCGTCACAACTCATCAAAGTTCGTGCCTGGTGGACTGGCACATGTCCCTCCGACCTACTTTATAGTTCAGGTTAATTTCTCTTCGACTAGAAGCATATCATCACATCAGTGCAAGACTGGAAATATGATCCTGGTCCGGTCAAGAGACTATACGTGTCAATGTACATGTCATTCTTTCATGGCGATAGAGAACGCTCCGTCCGATAGTGTTCTTGTAAGCACTGATGCCTACCGTAGGCCTTGTTTTCCACGTCGAAAATTGAACGATAGGATTTATTTCCGAGAAGTATAAAACCGATCCCGTATCCAGCACCACCTCATTCTAGAACCCCTGCGATGGCCTAAGGCAAGCCTTTGTCCTCTGGCGAAGATCCTTTTGAAAAATCAATGAGCGGGACATATCGGTAAAGGTTTGTTGCGTGAGTCGTCCCGACGCCAGAAACACCAAACACGGAGGACATCGGCTTGGGTTCCGAAGACAAGGAAAACAACGGTACCGGCTTATGCATGTCACTTCATTAGAGATGTAGAGAATTCAGAAGAGGGCAGGACTCACAAATTGCCGCGTACATGTCTTCGATAAACGTCTGATCGTAGAGTATGGAGACGAAGTTGACCCTAGGTTATTAATAAACGTCACGGATAGTGGCTACGTATGAAGATCGACCATACAGCATGCCAAGGAGAATATACAGTCCGAACAGCAGAACACGAAGCAACAATGTCGGGTGGAGGTCAGTGGAGTGTCGGGCCTGTCGCATTCCGCGATAGTTGCGGTACAGATATCTAGCAAGGTAAGCTACAAGGAAGGAACCCTTAAAACTCTGAAACCTATAGCTGAAGAAACACGTACTTTCAAACGCAAAAATGGCTACACAAACCGCAAATGTAAACAGGCTCATAGCAATGTAACTAGGAAACTCAATGAGTTACCAAATGGATGTGGTCGAAGAAGCTTACAGAGGTGAGTAAGCCAATGCACAGTACAGTTTTCGGTGATAGCGAGATACAAAGTCTGGATGGGAAACGGATATAATGAGGGTTGCAATGCTGAACGAGCATTGTACGATGTAAGGGGCCGATAGCATCTACACTTATTGAGCACATTTACAAGGGCAGAAAGACTTGCTAGATGTACCACAACCATCTTCCCCTTACTGAGACTTGGACAAGCATATCCTCCAATGGTAATGACCACTGTATGATACACGAAAGCCAAAACAGCGACGGACCACATTGGTGCGATCCCATACAAAAGTGATGTCTGTGCGATACAGAGTGGTTTCGGCGGCTCCGGTGAATCCGGTTCATATTTCCCCACGTAGAATAGAAGAAGAGAGGAGATCCCGGAAAATATACACGTTATGCAGAGGTTAATGAGCGTCGGGTGTCGGCTTGCACGGGTCGAGAACAGAAAAGTGGCAACGAGAAAGGGTAATAATATGGTGTTCGAAATCAAGTTAAGATAAATCCAGATATTCAAAGGCACCGGAGAGGCGGAACCCATGTCGAAAGAATTTGTCCCTTGAGAGACGTTAGCTGATTTTTCAGGTGAGTTGGACTACGCACTAGGGTTGATGGCGGCCAAAACAACTGCAACAGTGACGACCTGCCCCTCTGATTGCAGTACAATGACGCCAAAAAAGAAGAGCCCGTCCTGCAGTTAACAAACCAGCGGGGGTTCAGATTCTGCCAGCAGAAGAATAGAAATCGGAAGGCCACGAATTTATGGATAGGGGATCAGGAAGGGTGTACAAAGTAACCATCACTGCTTGCATAGGGTAACTGATATCTTTCCACTGCTTTCAGAACTCGTTCGAGTTGTTGAATCAGAACAGCCTCGAGCCTCAAGGCAGCGGCAGAATCCGGCCCGAGAGAGACAGGACCCTTTCCCTGAATTTCCAAGAGCAAGAACCTCGTGCTATCGATTCAATTCGGAATCATAGTAAGTCGCTTCCTTCTGCACGTTATAGTCTTTATACGAGTTCCCCTCCGTCCTGCTATTTCGTTCGTATGTGCCTGGCGGCGAGCCTTGATGCCTTCCCGGCCAATCATGATCTAGAAGCAATACATTGTTGGCACTCAGGCTGCTGTGTCTAATTGCTGACTCAGGCTTCGAGTGAGCATGATCCAAATTCGCATCTGTATTCGGGGAGACTTCATGAGTTTCATCGCTTGAAATTTGATCCAGCGAAGCGACGGTGACTAGGGACTGCAGTGATCTTTACCAGTTCATACTTCTTCACTTATCATTCCATCAACAGTACTCAGACTTCATAAATAACAACTACATCTCTTCATGACCTTTATCGACGAGGAACTCATTAAAACCATTCACGAAGAACTCCGTCGTCTCGTGTCCACCGGAAACCGTCGGAGCTGGCGCCAGTTTGCTGTTGACCTCTCTTTGATCGCTCTGTCGGTCCGGTCAGTGCTCGTCCAATGACGACGTTACAATACGATTTCCATGTACCGAGGCTCGTGGAAACTGATACAGATCTTTTTATACAGGACGGGGTATTTGGTGGACACGTTTGCTACCAGGATCATCTTCGAAAAATTGTTGGTTGCTCTTCGCGAGGTACTCTTGGCCTCCCTACCCCACTACATGAATAAGTCTGACCTTTCTGTTCCAGAAAAACCCACTGTTCAAAGACGTCGTCCATCTCTACGAACCTACTGCAGATCAATCATTCTTCATCAACGTCCCCCGCTTCCACTTTCGAGCTCCGGAATTCAATGATACCATCTATGTGTCTGTTTCAGGTTACCTCATTTCCCCCCCAGAAAATGTTCTGAACACTCTTCAAAGTATCGAGATCCGGGCCACTGACATCTCCTGCACCCTCCCATCTGATCTTCCTGTGGATGTAACGGTTCCCCTCGCGGCGGTTCTCTTGGAATACCCCATCGCTTATGTCCCACATGGCGCAATATTGCCAGAACGCCAGAGTCTCGACGTTTACGAATGCACTCTTTCGGGAGGAGTGACAATTGTCAAGTTTTCGTGTCCTTCTTCCTTGGTGAGCCGTGAGATAATCACCCAGAGCTTGCGTTTACGCTTCGGCATGGATGTTGAGGTTATGTGTATGTCCGAGACAGTGGATAGGTTGATTCTGTGATATTGGCCAGTCTACATTAGGCTTCTATTCTTTCATGTTACTCTATCCGGAGCAACCGATATCATCGGTATAGCAATTTGATCCTGTAATTATCATCCATATTCGTCCTCAGTTTACAATGTACAACACGTTGCATCGAGCCAGAAGACCATTATAACGAAAATACACTTTCATAGTTTGACACTCGTAAACAACTTACGAGTCTGTAATACAGCCCCGACTGGCATCCATTACTGTCTTAACGTACTTGTACAGCGTTCCCTGTGACACCTTCAACGGAGGTGGCACCCAGTCCTTTTTCCTCTCCTCCAGCTCTTCAGCCGAGACATGGAGCTCAATTGTATTTTTCACGGCGTCGACGGAAATGACATCGCCATCTCGGACAAAGGCAATAGGCCCGCCCACCTGAGCTTCTGGAACAACATGGCCAATACAGAATCCGTGAGATCTAGAAACACAGCCTTATCTTAATATCTCGGAAAGGCCATATATCCGGCAATTGCTTACCCCCCACTGAAGCGTCCGTCCGTTAGACACGCCACATCAAGCCCTAGGCCAGCACCCATGATGAGGCTCGTCGGCTTTAGCATCTCGGGCATACCTGGCAAAATCAGGGTGACAAAGTTTAAATCAAACCGGATGGTATTACTTACCAGGTCCACCCTTGGGTCCTAGATACCTGAGAATGACCACCGTCTTATCACCCTTTTTGATAGAACCGCTCTCCACAGCGCGGATGAAGTCGTTTTCATTGTCGAATGCCCGAGCTTTACCGGTGAAACCGAGTCCTTCTTTACCTGTTATCTTGGCAACCGCACCTCCCGGAGCGAGATTTCCTCGCAGTATCCTAATTTGCAAATGAGTTCATGATGTGGGTCATAAAGGTAGATATTACGGTACCTAAGATGCCCTGTTGACTTGATAGGTTTGTCCAAAGGCCGGATAACGTCCTGTGTCGAATCCAACTCGCCATATTTGTGCGTCCATCGGTCGAGATTTTCTCCGAGAGTACGGCCCGTGACGGTCATATTGTTCCCGTCAATAAGTTTGTTCTTAAGGAGAAACGCGAGAACCTCTGGTTTAAATGTAGTTAGCTCGTAACCAGAACGGTGAGAGGTGGGAAGCGTACTAGGAATACCACCGACTTTGTACACGTCCTCCATAACATACTTTCCGCTAGGTTTGATATCAGCGAGGAAGGGCGTGCGATCTGAGACTGCCTGGAAGTCATCAATGGTGAGGGTGATGCCGACTGAATGAGCGATAGCAATCAGATGCAGGACGGCATTAGTTGAACCACCAAGAATCATTGTTAAGACCTGGGGAAAAAAGAATTAGGATCCGTAGATATAGGAACTGCTATACATGCCATCGCATTTTCAAAAGCGGAGCGTGTCATAATATCCCGCGGAAGTATGCTCTTCGAGATCAAGCTGTACATGACTGATCCCACGGAGGCTATTTCCTCGTGTTTGTCTTGAGATTCAGCGGGGAAAGATGAAGATCCGGGAAGAGTCATGCCCATAGCTTCTGACGCGCTAGCCATCGTGTTCGCAGTGTACATCTACAATAGAGTAGGTATTGGATGCCATGATGATAGAACATGAAACGGACACCACCACAAGCTCCAGGACCAGGACACGCGTACCGGACGGTGTTGTATCGCTCATTTTCGGCTGCGGGTGTCATTCCATCCTGCAGATACTTGCCATACGCCTGAAATGCGGAAACGATATCCAGTTGGGGAGCACCCTCACACGAGCCTGCTCGAATAGTTCCACCATACACCATAAGACCAGGGCGATTAAGACGCCCAACTGACGTAACAATCTCAGTAAGCATACATAATATAACGATAAGAAACACTAACGAGCCATTAAGACACCGGGCATATTTTTGTCACAGCCGGGTATTACAACCATCCCGTCGAGATGATGCCCACCGGCGGCGGTCTCCACCTGGTCGGCAATAAGGTCGCGTGATTGGAGGGAATAAGACATTGCGCTTGTGCCCATGCTAATGCCATCGCTGACGCCGACAGTACCAAACTGGTACCCGATGAGACCTGCTTTTTGCAAGGACGCCTTGACTTCCTGTCCGAGACCCAACAGGTGTTTGTTGCATCTGACAAAGAGGTGGAGACAATGGGCGACATGCGGTGAAATCTCTTACGGGTTCCCTTCGTACCTATCAGAGGCCGCGAATTAGTTACCATATAAGATTGAGTTAAACGGATGGTTCACCAGACACTGGCAACTCCAACCATTGCCTTGTTGAAGTCTTCGTCAGATGAGATCTCGTCCGTCGCGTAAAGCATGGCCTGAACAAAAAAGTCTGTAAGAATTTCTATTCTGACTCACAAACAGTGGTACAGTGAATAAAATACCTGGCTGGCACCTTGGTCTTTTGGTTGGGTAACAACCCGACTATACTTGTTCATGACAAGTTTGTCGTGACATGCTGCCGACGACCAGAACGACCTGGTAGACCGACCCAGAGAGGATCTGTGTCTGAGCATCATCGCGTCGAGAAATGTCTTTTTTGAGTCACGAGTCTAAATTTGGTCAAAAAAGTACGTGCTTACGTAACATTCGCACTCAAACTGTACGTAATTTAAGCTTCCTCGGCATCAGCTCGTGCTCCGGACTTCCTTTTTGGTTTAATATCCCCTGTCCAACTCAATTTCATTCTTTTGTTCTATAGGTCGTCCGCTGTCGTTCCTTCTTCGGCTAGTTTATATTTTAGAAATAAACCTAGTTCGGTGAATTGACTCTTAAGAACTATGCTTTCCGTTCCGAAACCGTCGATCCTTTTGACTCGACGACAGAAGCATAGAATAACATCCACGGTGTGAAGTGGAATAAAGTTGAATACCGGTCTATGGGGCTTGTTATACTCAAAAGAGTTATCAGGGGACCTTAGATTGGCTGAACGATCCCCCAAAAATCGATCGTGTTTCAGCTACAAACCAATCACAGCATTTATCGTGAATTTGAGGGGCTCACGAATGAAAGGCAATGACCAACAAATACAGTAGATGAGGTCCAGAATTTGGCAACCAGGACGCGAGAAAATGGGTGGAATTACAAATCATTTTTCATGAGATAGATGAGAAGGTTTACCAGCAACATCCGCCACATCCCTTTTTTCTTTTTTCTTTCGGGCGGGAGGCATCGCGCGGAAGCATACGCTGTGAGACGTGTATTGGATTGTTGGACTGTATTTAATTGGTGCCTTTATTCCTCCGCAACCGTGATCGTCATCCGACTCCTACAATTCCAAGCGGCAGTATATGAGACACTTCGATTGTTTGTTTTCTGCTCTTCCGACTCTCCCAGCCTTAGTCTTTCAATAGTCCGGTCATTAACTGCGCACTCTCTTCCACCCTCCTATGGATGGCAAAGACAGAGGCGACGATTCTGGCAAGCGAAGTTCTCTGCCAAGCAGTCTAATTCCCCATCTATATTCAAGCCCACAGAAAGTCCGGAACAGCTCTACCAGGACGACGCTCCCTGAAGCTCGGGACGACGAAGACATGGAGCCGGAGCATCCTGGGCCCTCACCGCCGCTCCGTTCTCGCCATTCTGCCACTACTCCTTTACCCTCTGGGCCATATCCCTCAAACGCCCTACGCGCTGTACATGCATATGCGAGCTACGAGGCAGGCTGGCAAGGCGATCCCTCTGTACCACCTGGCCTTGGTGGCTCTTCTTCCATTCCACATGGTCCGCCCAGTCGACGAGACGACGAAGACACGGTCGCTGCTCGTCATGGCACCCCGACTTCCTTCGCTGCTCGGGCCGGCGCTCCTCGTGTATCCTCCGTGCCCTATCCCGCCAACGTGTATCGTCCATTCGTGGGGTACGAGACAGCGGCGTGGCAAGACAATCCTACGGGCTCATCTGCAGCTAGTCGTCCCAACGGCTCTTCTTCCGTCCCGCATGGTCAACCCATTCGAAGTGACCCGGCGTACTATGTCTCCAGTTCTAGGGGACCTTCTGGCGGGTACACTCTGCAGCATTCACCTGACTATGCTGTTTGGCGGGAGGGGGAAGCTGGACCGTCTCACATACGCTACGACGCCAGAGACGGAATGAGACAAAGATATCCTCCTGAGCCGCAACCTAGTCCGTCTCGCGGAACGGGACACTATGAACAGGTTTATCGAAGGGATTCTACGCCTCGAAGCGAACCACCGGGCCCGTCTCATGGAATGAGTCAATACGACGAACGCGCCGCAATGGCATACCGCCGAGAACCAATCCCTCGAGATACATACACGGGCGGCGGCCCTCCGGTGTCTCAGTGTACGTGTTTATCCATTTATGTCGCTGTGCGTCGGGTAGAGCTGACTGATATTTAGACAATCCTTATAGTGTGAGGGCTCAGTATCAGGAAATATCACCCTCACATGGAGTGCGCCCCGGACCTGAGAGCTTGTACAGTGAGGTGCTTCCTCCACGACAAGGGCCGGCTTACATCCTCCCTCGCGTTGCTGCACCTAGCGGACTGTCTGAAGAGGTCTCTAGTAGCGGTACCGATGACGACGGTGATGCCGAATACATGCCAACTACATTCCGACGAAGCAAAAAGCGCGCGAGAAGCACAAGTCCCGGAGGAGACGACTCGAAACGAAAGAGTGTCAAAAAGACACTGATAGCCTGCGATTTCTGCCGCGGTAAGTGTCGATGTGAAGAAAGTCGTTGTTATATATTCAATGCAAGTTATATTAGGACGGAAACTACGCTGCGACGGAGCGAGACCTTCATGCATGAACTGCACAGCTCGAGACAACCGCCCATGTGTATACCAGTCCACACCGAAACGACGTGGACCGGGAAAGAATCCTAAGTCAAAAACACTCAAGGCGAAGAAAAGAAGCAGTACGAGGGCGCGAACGAGCGAGAGTGTGCGCGGCGAGGGACCAGCATCATCGGTCGAGGATTTTGATATGGCAAGTCCGGCGTCCGAGCGCCAAAGAGCGACGCCATCTTCCGAAGAAGTCAATCAGTCGAATCCGTCTGAAGTGACGGCAACGGGCCCGAGTCTGTACCTAACAGATGATAGCACCATGGCACCACGAGGATCACAACGGAGCGCACGGCGTGGAACAGTAAGACCGTGGCCGCCAGCGAAGGGGGGAAAGAAATAGGGAAGAAAATAATGGGATGCTATTATAGTTTGACAGGCGGTAGGCAGCGACCCTAATGGCGGTACCGCGGTCGGTAGAGGCGGATTCCGACTTGGGTTTGTTCTGGATCACTTGCTCGGGCCGCAAAGGGCGTCTACAGTGGGTTGCAGGTGCGGCCAGTTTCCCCACATTCATATCCCCCTGTTCACGGCAATGACAGATCCTCCCGATTCTTTTTACGTATTCCGTTGCTATCCGCTCTTTTCTTAGCCTTTTATATGCGCACTCCGGACGCATGCCTACGGCTCTCACGATATGATTACCCCGAAATCGGTTATTTCACAGGTCTACCTTAGTTCTGGCGACAGTTTTGTAGTGTTTCTGTATATTTTTTTAGGATAGGCATCAAACTAATAGTATAGAAATGCCTGGGCTGCAGGCGTAATAATGGGAATTGAGAGCGGGAGCGCAAGGGGGGAGATTGGATTTGGACCTTGGTTTCCTCCGATTGGTTCGGTGGGAATTAGCATGTGTCGGTTCTTCATCAGAGTTTTCAAAATCACCGCGCTGAGCAGGGACCCTGGACTATTGTGGTCTGTCTCCGTTCCAGCGTCACGCAGCGCCGACGGTTCACTGAGAGCCTTGAGGACGGCGGGATGAGAACTGGTACTGAGCACCGGATACAGGACGAGCGGACGGGGTCTGCCGCGGGAAGCCACCTCGAGCCCAGCCTTGCGCTTCCAAGTCATGTCACTCACGTCGGATCTGGTCTTGATGCGCCCGGTACGCGGTTTGCCTCTCTCCACCATCTACATGGTCTCTCACCGCCATGGCTGACCCAGCCGGCCCCTCCCTAGAATTTACCCTGCTCGTCGCTGGCTCTCGTGGAGGTCAGTTCCCCCTTATTCTCCTCTTTCTGCCTCCTTATTCCGTCTCGGATCAGGCAAGACTTCCTTCCTACGTCTCCTCCTCGACACCTCCAATGTTTCGCCCACTACATCCCAGGACCAGCTCGCTTCGGTCGCAAAGTTCGTTCAGGGGTGCAGCGGCCGTACTTCTCACATTCGTTCTGCTTCTATTGATGTAGACCTTGACCTCGACGGCAACGGCCCGCTCCAGACGCTTACCTTGCATCTCGTCGATACCCCGTCCCTCGACTTTAAAGACGAACAGCCTGCTGAGAGGCTTGTCGCTGATACACTCAGATACGTAGAGTCGCGCTTTGCCGAATCCATTCAAGACGTGAGCGCCTATTCTTTCTCGCTGTTGCTAACCTCTCCTCAATCATGATCACAGGCTCGCAACTCCTCCACCACCGACCGCTATGTTCATCTGTGCGTATTACTATAATTGTCCCGTCGACGCGTCCTGAACGCCACATTTACAATATGACAGGTGTCTATATTTTCTTGACCCGGATCAAATTGTACCATCACAGATACCTGCGCCGCTCGCGCCGCCTCGTGCTCGTGCAAACAGCTTTTCACAACCCGACCTTGACCCCCTCATTCTCGAGCTCCCTGTCGCCAACAATCCTCTCTTGACACGACCCACATTGCCCTCCGCCGACATAAATTCTATTCGCCGTCTGTCAACACGAGTTAATGTCCTACCTGTTGTCTCACGTGCAGATATCCTCACCAATGACCGGCTCGCTGCTGTTAAAATGGCTATACGGCGAGACCTAGCTGCGGCTGGCATTGGTTTCGGCATATTCGACGATGCCTACCACAGCCATCCCGGTGATATCTCGCCTAGCAATGGTAAATTGACCAATGGCTACGTAAACGGTACCAGCTCTGGCACCAGCTCTCCTCCCTCCTCTCCTGTTTCATCCTCTTTGCGGCTTCCTTATGCTCTGATTTCGCCGGATATATATTCCCACAGCGACGGCGTTCCCAGGATACCTGTGTCACGCCAGCAGCTCGTTCACCAGTACACCCCTTCATACCATTCCCCTTCTTCAAAACTCGTCCAAGGAAAATACATTCGCACATATCGCTGGGGTTCTTTGGATGTTTTGGATCCATGTCACTGCGACTTTCTACATCTACGCAATGCCATTTTCCGTCACATGGAGGTAAGTCGCTCACGCCTGGGTCCCTGCATTAATCTGATGTGATCTCAGACCTTGCAGACGTATACACGGGACTATCTATTCGATAAGTTCAAGCTTGAATACCTGCAGTCCTCACGCCCTTCACTCTCTCGCCATCTCGTTCAAAACCAGGGTATACCACGGACGTCAGGTGCTATGTCCTCACGGCCCATACTGGCCATAGATACCGCAGGACCACATAATTCCATCAGCCGGCATCATTCACTCTCCGTTTCTCGTGAGGTCTCTACATCTGCTGCAAGAGACATGCGCTCCGTCCCCCTTACCCGCCCCTTAACTGACATCTCTGTCAGTGCATCGACAAAGGGTCTGACCAGTACGTCCAACGGCTCGTACTTCGCCACGTCTCTAACCGACTCGCGTTCAGAAGCCAAACAGCGCACCAAAAAAATTACAGTGGCGTGCAACTTTTGTAGATGTGAGGGCCGCTTTTTCTCCCCTTTCTTTGCCTTAGTAAACAAGGTTCCTTACAGCTCGCAAACTCAAGTGCGATGGCGGGCGGCCAGCGTGCAGTCAATGCTTGAAACGGTCAAATTCATGCGACTACATGCCTCAAAGCAAGCGTCGTGGAAGTATGCGTACGAGTCGGGACCGAGACAGTGGCAGCGACAGCATAGACGAACCATCTCCTGATGCTCTGGATACTCCTGTTTCTGAAGTGCCGTCACTATCTCTTTCCCGCAGGACCTCGAACGCGGGGAGGATGACACCGCTGCCTTCTATAGGGGTATCAACAGATGCGTCTACATCTTCCGTTCGATCGAAAGGTTCCATTAGTGAATCGCGCTCGTACTGGGCGGATAACGAACTACCTCACATTGCCACCCTATCTCTACCTGAACATTCCCCAGCCACGCCGGTACCCATGTCCGCACCGCCTCTGCCGCCTATCAGACCAGCCTCGGAACACCAAGCGGCCCAGCGCAAACGCGCAGCTACAGCACCCGGAAAAAGCGGGCGTCAACCATCAACTTCTGGACCCAAAGTTGTGGCTTGCAACTTTTGCAGAGGTACGTTGATAGAAACGTTATATCTTCTGCAGCTTCTCATCGGGTGTCTTTCTTTTTGTTTTAGCCCGTAAAACGAAGTGTGATGGAGCGTACCCCGCATGTTCCAGCTGCGTCCGACGGAACTTGTCGTGCAACTATGTGAATGATCGTAGCGGAGGAGACCCCTTGAGGAAGGCGCCGAAGCGAACGTCTAATGCGCGGCCTTCGCCTCCTTCACCACCTTCCTCGAGGATGGTGCCGACACCTCTGAGTGCGAATGATGGGAAAGATTATATTTCCTATGTGGAAGGAGGGGGAGAGTACGACATGAAGAGAATGTTGGAACATCCTGATATAAGTCGACCCTCAAAGAAAATGCGTATCGAAGGTTCATCGACGGCCATTGATGCGATACCCTGACGCCTTTTTGTTGGATCTCATTGATCAACTTTTGTAGACTAAGTTTTACTCATGCTTTCCCTCTGTTTTGTTGTGTTATTTTAGGGCTGGACGTTAGCAGTCATGGCTTTGGGCATGGGACTGTATCTGTATTTGTTTTCTTCAATTAAGCAGCGGAATTTAATCGGTCGTTTTTGGATATGCTCTACGTCGTATTTTATTGCTATTTCGAAAAAAAAAATCATGAGATTCCTAATAAGAATCATAGGTATTGGTTCCTGCTATTCCAGTGACCTCCGAGCTCGCCCACAGCGTCATACATTGTCTCAAACTCTTTTTTCATCTGAGAATCCAATTTATTTTTCGAAATGGCAATTTGAAGCCATGCGTTTTCTTAGAGTACGCGTTTACAATGCAAACCTTGAGGTTCTCCTTGTTAGAGGGCTTGGTTACTAGGCTAGCGCTTTCTCCTCCTATTTTCGTATTGGTGAGAAAATGTCGTGGCCAACTCGCTTCTTCTGGCAATGGCTACTAATTGTGACCCTGATTTGATTTTACCTTTGTTGTACCTTTTCTCTCTTTCGACTTCCGAGTAGCTTTGACCAGTTTCTGTGTGAGACCAAGAGTTGTTCACTCCAAGGCCTGATACCCTCCGTCGTTCCTTCAGAAGCTCAGTTTCTCCCATTCATCCTATATATCACAGCCCTCGTTTTTTCTCTCGGACCTATTCATCGACCTTTAATCATGTTCTCGTTGCGACGGAAAGCGACCAGACCAATTGAAACTCCCGGGATACGTATATCACCCTCCCTTCCCGAGCTAAACCCTCAGGGAATTCCATGGCCGGAAAACTTGGTCGATATCAACAGCATACGCGATGACCAACCACCGGAAAGCCAATCCCATACTGGAGCAGCGAAGACATCTTTCGGGAGAGAGGTCCATTCGCCAATACCCTTCCATAAACCTTTCCGTTCACCAGGAAAACCAGCCGAAGGTGCACCCATTTCGTCGTTGTATATGCACCCGCCGCCCTCCGCATTCAAGACTTCTACAACGAAATACAGCCAGCGTCGGGCCCGCCTGCCCCCCACTTTCAATTTAATGGTACGTCGATCGCTGTGTATTATTTACGTCAAAAAGGCATCTTAAATCCGGACAGGTTGTCGGAGCGCAAGGGACGGGGAAGACCTCACTTCTTCGTCTTCTTTTGGAAACGGCTGATATTTCTCCCACCGCCACTGTCGACCAACGTGCTGCGGTTGACCAGGTCCTGAGGGGCCCCCCCAAGGCTACTCAAAGCATCCATACTGCTTGTGTCGAGATATGCGAGTCGAGGTTCGACCGTGTGTTATTTTCGGTTATCGACACGCCTGGGTTGGATTTTGTCGAGGGGAAGGAGCTCAAGTTGGAGAGACAGGTTAGTGGGGTTTTGAAGTATGTGGATGCTCAGTATGCGGATACAATGAGCGAGGTGCGTTTGCTCTTTTGTGATCACTAGCTCTGACTTTTAAGTGTCTGTTAGGAATCCAAAGTGATACGAAAAAACAAAGGAGATCAACACGTCCACTTGTGAGTAATTAAAGCCTGCAGGGACTGGTGCGCTTGGCAAAGGGAATACGGCATCTTGACAGCATCTTCAAAACACTCATTGAGAAGATATAAATGGTTTTTATTGGGACTTGACACTCGTTTTACAGGGCTCAAATATTAACTACAGCCGTCAGAAAGTGTTTGTTCAAGCACGGCGAAAGCGTACCAGTCTCTGCAGTACAATTGATAAGCCTTTAGTTTATCTAACCTTTTATTAAAGATGCATTTACATGATTGATCCTTCTTCTCTCATGACCCCTGCTGCGCGACGCGCGCAGCTGTCCCTGCCCACCAGAACGCGCTCAGAGGCGACCGTCTCCAAGTATAATCCCCCCGATCTTGTACCGGATACTTCCTCTGATGATTCTGACGACGACGAACAAGTTACTCTCACCATGTCCCCTGCCGAAATACGCGTCATTCGTCGTCTTTCCGCTCGTATCAATGTTCTTCCAGTCATCGCTCATGCGGACTCACTCACTGATGACAAGCTCGCAGCCGTGAAAGCGGCCATTCACACTGGCCTTGTGGATGCAGGTCTGGGATTTGGAGTGTTCTCACCTAAAGACGAGCTAGAGACCCCAAAATCGAGGCGGGTCGTGCATACCAACATTCAGACCGAAGCGAACGGTACCAGCAACGGGCATGTCGCAACCGAGACTGGAGCGGAGGAAGAGGGTGAGCGGCAATCGCGCCCCATCATCAAGCTCCGCTCCACCCATCATTCCAGCAACCCACGAGCCTTGTCACGTTCGCGCTCTCGTCGTCGTGACTTGTCTGTTGCCGCTGTCGACCATCATCGACCCGTTTCCCCCGACCTTGAGGACCAAGATAGCGTTGCCAACGTCCGTTTTTCAGCAGCTGTCGTTGCCAAATCCACAGTTGATTTGGCTTCGCTCATGCCATTTGCTCTCATCGCACCGGAGTCGACGAAGAACAGGCATCGGAGCCAACTCTTGAACACGCTGTTGAACACCGCGCCTTCATCTCCTGTTACTTCTTCGGACGATGAGCATGCTCCGTCAATTGATACAACGGTTTCCTCTATTCCACAGACTCCCGCCTCTCTCTCTAGTACGCGCAATCCGACCTTTCTCCATGGACCCCCAGAGGATTTGAAAGGTGTATTCGTGAGGAGGTTCCGATGGGGAACTGTTGACGTTTTGGATCCAAATCACTGTGATTTCGCCGCTCTGAGAACGGCCGTGCTGTGTACCCACTTGAACGTTCGTGTTTTACTCATTGCTGCTTGTCTGAGATCCCAAAATTTAACAATTGCGGTCATAGGTTCTCAAGTCACATACGAAGGAGGTCTTGTATGAAAAGTACAGAACTGAAAAGCTTCTCGCTCGCAGGGCGACGCGTCAAATTACAGACAGCGAGAGGGACAGGTTGCTGGAAGGTGCGTTTGTCCCTTTTGAAAGGTAAGGACGCGTGCTCATCTGATCATAGAGATAGGATTATGATCTCTCTTATTTACATTCGTTGCTTCATCTTTTTTTTCATCCATACCCATTTCTTCGGTTTTTTTCTTGTATAATAGTGAGCCAGTTCGGTTGGCTTCATAGGATTGCTTAGCATTGGATGGAAGGCTGGGCATTCGACATACCGTCATTGAATATTCCTACTTGTTCTCCTATGAAGTGTGGAAAGTAGCGGGAGTACTGATCAATGCGAGCACACTCCAAGTGACAGAGCATAGCGGGGCATGGAAATAAATAGCTCAAACTCAGAGTATAAGCCGAAGTACATGCATAGATATTAAGGATCGCGGGGAGAAAACTGGGGAAAATTTTATGTGGACAATAACAGTGAGGAACACTACAACTTTTAGCGAATCGAGAGTTTCGCATATGAAAACAGATGGGGAAAAGGTCTACATTACATATACTAAGAGGCACTACTTTTCTACCGAATGAGAGTGTTCACGAACATGCATTTGACATCTATCCTTAATTTTAGTACAAGTAGATGATAGATGATGGATCTGTACCTAATCAAGGAACTGGTATGATGGAGTGATACCCTTCTTGACCAACATGTCGATCTCTGCATCTGATAGCCCAACTAAGCGTTGCAGAAGATAATCTACCTGGGAAAAATAAGAACCGGGTATATTCCATAAATAACAAACATATTTACCTCGACCTCCTTCGTCAGTGGGATGATAAAACTCTCGTAAAGTTCTACCACACCAGCCACGTCAATTTTGGATGCCCCACTCACAGGTCCATTAGGCAATTGAGTACCATCGGAGGCAAAGTCCTGAGCGTACGTCTCTGCCTTTTTCTGCAGCCGTATCAGCAACTTGCGCTCGACTTCTGGCTTTGTTATGAGAGCCTCTAGTGCCGAACGGTTGGGTTTCAGGATGTGCGGGATGAAAGCAGCGGGGTCTTGCAAAAACTTGGATTCGGAGACGAATTTGCCTAGTCGGAAGCGTTAGGACGGAAGGTGGCTGCTAGCATAGAGCGGTACCGTAGTGAACCCTTTTACTGATTGCTTGCAAAACTTCAATATCGATTGTCGCAGCACTCCCATAATTGCCGTCATCTTCATACTCTTCGTCTCCGACGATTCCCTTGGCCCGTTTTGTAGCCGCGAGGAGCAGGGTGGCGTGTCGAGTTATCCGGGGGACGATAGTGCGCGTGTAGAATGAAAGAATGGATGGATTTACGTTGATTTTATTCGGGTATAAGATTTGTGGGAAGGATAGGGGTGGTATAATGGGTTCTGGCAGGTCGCTTGAGAAGGGGTATTCGTCTGGGCTAAAGGGAAAAATAGGTGTATGGAATTATGAGAGTAAGGGGATACCCACCTAGTATATCTTCTTGCTTTTGCTGATAGATTGATGATCAGCGACTTTGGAGCCATTTTTAATAACACAAGTGCTCACCATGGAATGTCTCGGTCTCCTTGAGGAACCACTCTAGCCAACTGCCAGTGAATCCGATACCTTGCAGTTCCTTGAACGCATTGCGCTCGTACATACGTGCATTGTGGACAAACTGGGCGCGCTCGATAAGGGAGAAGATGATGGTATCCTCAAGCCTGACCAGGACCGAACGAATGCGGTCCAACGACAATGGGTTGCCGATGGTAAGGTTTGACTGCATTTTCGTGGAACTGCAAAGGTCAGACAACGGGTTGACCTTGGGAGAATAGCAACTTACGGTTCGAAATAGCGAAGTCGAAGCGGTCTTGTACTCCAGTAATCCAGGGTAGGCGCGAGTTGGCAGGCAATCAGTTGATGAACCCGTTTGTTCAGTAAGCGTTACTGAGAAGGTTGGGAATGGGGTTTCGGCCGCGACCGTCTCCGATCTTATTTAAGGCCACGAGCGGAAATCGAAGTTAGAAAGTGCTGATAGCACCAATAACCAGACGTATACAGTAATTAGCCCTAGCACCCGCTGCCAAGTACTAACTTTGCCTCTCGCGACAGGACTCTGGCCGACCTTTGAATACTAAGTCGGAGTCTGCAGTGGACTTGAAACGCTCAGCCGCGGTAACTTCATTTATTAGAAGGAATTTATATTCTGACTGTCCTTGAGAAGGAAACCAATTAACCAGAGTCCGTACTACATGCGTCTGCCTAATTCACTACGTTTCGATACCGAATGAACGTTGCACCTCACTGTTGATGCTACTGCTGAGAAGCCGTACGTGGCGGAGACGTAACCGTATCGTCGTGAGCTGCATTGTAGCCATTTTCGAGTACGAGGTACTGGCGAAGATCGAAAACTTTCCTCGCTTTTCTTTCAAATGACCACTGCTTATAATTCGTTCATTTGACTAAGAATCGTATATATGGTCTTGGGATGGACATCATTCATTACAAAGTCGCGGTACCAGCTCAACATTTCTTCTATGGGCGGTGACATTTGGCACAAGAAACTAGTCTCAAGTACATCATTGAACTGGCCTGCCAAGGAAGTTATGCTGAACGTAACTGTAAGAGTGAAAATTTAGATTACATTGTCCAAATCGGTTCTTGCGCGTTCTCCGAGCTGAGGGCTCGGTCCGACTTCCAATGTTTGGCTATATGTCCCGGTAGCCTCAGGCTCCTGTTAACTGCCATTGACAAATCGATTAGTACCTCTGTATCTTCTTCGCGTGATTTGCCACCAAAAATCGCCCTTTCCCCCAGATTTATCTCTCTACAAACATGATAAGGCGTTCCCAAACTGTACGGAACCAGCCACGCCCATCTCTAGCCTTAATATCCGATGATCTTGGCACTCTCAGAGAAGGTGACGAGTCGAATGAGGACATTCTCCGGAAGCAACTGATTGAGAAAGACAGAGAGTGTGATCGCGTTTGTCGCCTCTTTCCTAATCGTTCAATATGTCTGCTTACTTATTTTCCAGCTACAGACCCAAGTTCAGCAACTCCAGGCTCAGCTTGCTCAAAGGCCATCGTTAGAAACAGTACAGGAGCTGAAAAAAGATCACAAGAACTTGGAACTCCTTCTTCAGGGGACACAGAGGGAAAATGAGCGTTGCATGGCCGATATTGAGAGGTCAGTTCGCACACAAGATGGATCGTTCTTGCTCACTCAGCTTCCAGAGGGAAGACGCGTGAAAAAATGCTAGAACGCGAATTAGCTCGGCTGGCGGGAGACAATTGGCAGGTGAGGGGTCCCGCTTTTTTATAACAGTATAACCATGCCCCATGGCTCATCTTTCTGCAGTCATCATTAGACATCACGCCGAGTCCAGCAACATTCCAGCCGCGTGCCACTCTTCACGGACATCGACATTCACCTGCTCCTGCCGCGTCCGACGCCAGTGGTGACACAGACAATGCGGCATTGTTAGCGCGCCTTGATCAGATTCGTTTGACCGTTCTGGGAATGGAGCAGAGGGCGTTGCTGAGGGAGGAGAAGCTCAACAAGAATATCGAAATAGCAGAAGCAGAAGCTCGGAAGTACGAAGATATATCCAAGTCCTTGTCTGTGTAATAAGGTCTGTTGCTTACGATTCATCAACGATACTACACGATACCTGTTACACTATCATTTTAGGCCATGAACTATTTGTATTATAGCACCCGCAACGTTGGATTTAACGACAATCTGTATTTAAGAGACCGTATACTATCTTTGTTCGAGTGACTGAAGGGCAGTAAGATCAAGTTTCTGGCATTTCCTGGCTCGTCGTGGCTATTGAAAGCTCTTGGGTGCGTTTCAAACATTTTCAAATTATCGTTCGTCTGATTCTGATTGAAAAGCAAATACCAGGACCTCAATTATGACAATCCTATGAGTCACCCGATGAATTGCTTGAGCCCTTGGGTAATGTCTTCGGTAGAATCCTTTATTGGGGTCCTTTTGGTGGTGCTGCTCCGATAGCACCGACGTGGGAACTGTATGACCTCAGTTTGCCCCGGGGGATTCCATTCTCGCTATATAATCCTGGAATACTTCTCCTCTTCATTTCTCACCATGGCTCCCGCACCTCTTCTTCAAAAGAGTGTTCCTGCACCCTCCTCCTTCCCGCAGAAGGCTTTCATGGATGTGGCAGAGGATTATGATGGACAGTATCGCTTTGCTCCCATTCAGGAGTCCCAAGTTTCAAGGGCCATGATCAAGCGGTAGGATGGCGCCTTCTTAGCGGATCCTCAACTAAAATTCAGTTCATGATCCTCCACAGGTACTTTGAGACTATGTACGACAGAGCGATTTCCGATGTCGTTATTGTCGGTGCTGGGAGCGCAGGTCTCACCTGTGCTTACCACCTGGCGGTCACTCGCCCTGACCTTAAAGTCACCATTATCGAAGCCAACGTTGCGCCTGGAGGTGGAGCGTGGCTTGGTGGACAACTCATGTCTCCGATGGTAAGTTGAGCCGTTAACATCGCTTTCTGTGACAAATGGCTTAGTTCAGTTTTACCCAGATAATTCGCAAGCCAGCCGATGCCTTCCTTAGAGAGCTCGACGTTCCTTACGAGGATGAAGGTCCCTTCGTAGTAGTAAAACATGCTGCGTTGTTCACCTCTACCCTGCTGTCCGCCGTCCTCAAGCTTCCTAACGTCGTTCTGATGAACGCCACAGCTGTAGAGGATCTCATCATTCACGAAGACTTTGCGGGTAAACAACGCGTAGCCGGTGTAGTCACCAACTGGACTCTGGTGGCTCTGAACCATGACACTCAGTCGTGCATGGATCCTAACACCATTACCGCGCCAATCGTTGTATCCGCTACAGGACATGACGGACCCATGGGCGCATTTTCCGCTAAGAGACTCGTCAGTGCGGGTCTGTTAAAGGAGCTGGGAAACATGCGAGGCTTGGATATGAACCGCGCCGAGCCGGCCATTGTGAACAACACCCGCCAGGTAGCTCCGGGTCTCATCATGACTGGTAAAGGAATAATGCTGCACACACACTGATTTATTCTGATTGGTGCTTACAGGTATGGAACTCTCGGAGCACGACGGATCCAACCGAATGGGTCCCACCTTTGGAGCGATGATTGGCAGTGGAATCAAAGCGGCCAAGGAAGCAATTCGTGCCTACGATGCTGCGAAAATCGTAAGTGGAAAGATTGTGGGATAAGCTGAATGAAGTGTAAACGTAACTTCTGAGTTGTAATTGTATTTAGCATGCGCCGAGAACAAATCTGATCATAATTGATGACGCGTTGAACCCTTACCTAACTTGATATAATACGACCATCATGGGCATGGAATTGCCTTCGCCAGACAGCCCTAGGGAGCAAGTCCGTGTCTTGATGGCCCGGAAATCTGACATTCAGGCAGAACTAGAGACTCATCTGTCTATTCTAAAAGCAAACTCCTCGACGATGCATTCTCCATTGGTTGACCCAGACGGGTTCCCTCGAGCCGACATTGACATATACGCGGTACGGGGTGCGCGGATACGGGTCATAGAGCTGCGGAATGATCTAGAGGCATTGATGAACGAGATTGGGAAGAAGCTGGAAAGCGTGTATGACCCGAGCCTGGCCCCGCCTGCAGTTCAGGAATCGGACTCGCCTGCTGACACTCCTTTTGCAAGAGTTGACGGTGTGGCACCAGGAAGTCCGGCAGCGGATGCGGTGCGCAAGCCCTCTGAGTTTCTGTTGTACTATGTCTTGTTAATTGATGTGCTCTTCCAGGGTTTGAAACGTGAAGATCTCATCGTGAAATTTGGTTCATTAACGAGTCCATCATCCCTACAAGCTGTGGCGGAAGCCGTGGGGGCCAATGAAAACGTCGGCTTGCATTTTAATTTTACTGTTACGTTTTCTGATGTCCATATAGCAGAGTATCTCAATCAAAGTGCTGAGAGACAATCGACCAGCTTTCTTAAGTCTAACGCCGAGAAAAGGTTGGGGTGGACGTGGGATGCTCGGGTATGCGGTCATGCTATCTTTATGTTTCTGAGATGATGACTGTTCCCTCAGTTGCCACATCGTGCCATACACGACGTCATGATATCATTCAAGTCGTTCAGTAGTGATTGTACCATCAGCATATCAAATAAAAACCAAGTCGATCCACGAAGTTGCATCATAGCGGACTGACAGTTACATGAACTACGGAAAGGTTCGCATACTGGACTCGGTCGACTCGGATTTACAAATAGGTAAGTGTTCTTTTGTCTTAATGGGTACATCAGGACTCATGGACAGGACACAAACAGGAAGGTTCATTCAATCGGCGATACTAATACATAATAACTTGAAGCTCTCATAGTTGTTAACAATCCTTCCGTTGGAATTAGTCCATGCACTGACTTCCCTTGCATTCTCCGGCCTCGCAAACGCAGCTACAGTATCTAATCGTCAGCGTGAAGTTGTCGTGCCTCGCATAAAAGGGTACATACGCCGTGTTGCAGGTACTATTGACTTCAGAGCATTGGCATTGACCGGTCTCGCTTGAAGAACAACTGTTTCGACGGGAAAAAATTCGTTGGTATGCATTCGGAAAATGTAGAGCATATCATACTCACGCGTTGCAGGCACATTGAGTGCAGGTGCAGCTAAGATCCAATAAGCATGCAGTTCGTGCATTGATAAACAAAATTTGGATGCTTACGCGGAACAGCTACACGCAGCGGCTGCGCAAGCCTGAGTGACTGGAACTTGGGTGATCTACGTAACAGTGGTGAGAACAAGTAAAAGATGTAGATGGACTCCAGTACGCACGGCGTACATGATTATTGTAGTTGATGGCTGGCTTGGAGGACTCGGAGTTCTGATGGTTAATGTTGGTGGTACTGAAATTCTGAGAAGACTTGCGAATCGAGGGCCCTTATATATGATTTTTGGGACAATAGTCAGCAATATATCCACTAAATCGCGCGGGTCATGACTGCATCCATAAAATCGCGCGGTTACCAATCAAGTGACGCGCGCTGACTCGAGCCTCTTGGTATTACTAATACAGCAGTTCAATAAATCGCGCATGTCGCTGTATTCACAAAAAGCGCACATGTTCGAGTCACTACGTGAGTCATTCAGTCAGGAAAGTGACTCCGATTTTTGAGATCAACGCCAATTGGTCCAGAGGAATTTGTGAGGGATCACACTTTACCTTCAGAGCACAATGAATAAAGATGAGACATTACATTTTCGCTCTAGACTTTGTTGTATCCAACCCAAATACAATTGCAGCATTTCCAGCCTCCCTTTCAGCGGTCGCGGCACCCTGGATGATCCGAACATCCCGTATGGCCGTCAACAATCCGCCTTCCGATACCCATCTCTTGAACACCTCTGAGTCCGTCTGCGCTTCATCCTGCTTTGTTTTATGTGACCATATTGCATGTTCCAGAAGGAACAGACTCGACGCTACGTTACCAAGCAGTATCAAAGCGTGCCTAGGCAGGAGAGGCGGTATTGGGGGCCTGTACGCCGATGATGCACAATCTACAGACTGCCTCAGCGTATCCAAGGCGTCGAGTATACGTACTCTGAGATCATCTGGGCAAGAAGCCATCACTGACTGCGCCCACTATTGAATGCTAAGAAATTCTGCTTGTGTACAGGTCTTTTGAGACTTACCGTTGTGAACGCTACGAGCACTAAAGGGTCTCTGACTGCTCGTACCACATCCAGGGACAGTACTGTCGCGGTTCCCTCCCATATCCTATAAGTAAATCAGCAAAATACGAATGTTGTCGGCATGATGTAACTTGCTTTTCCACCAGGCCGTCTCTGATAAGCCTCCCTATCTGATTCTCTTCCATATAGCCCGCACCACCAAGAGCGGCCATGGCTTCTTCCATTGCGCCACATGCCCTTTCCGCATTGAAGGCCTTTACCATCGGTGTCAGCATCCTCAGCATCCTCTCTTCTTCCGGCGTAGCCAATTGGCATTCGGCTTTACCCATCAGTCGTATAACGCCAAAAGTCAGATGCACGAGGGCTCTGTACGTTAAGCTGATGGTCACAATCTGCGCTACATGCAACGGCGTTTCTCGCAACAGCCGTGTCCCACTTTGAATTCGACGTACGTCCGCGTATGACGTAGCGATAGCGAGGCACCGCCGCAGACCACCGAGAGATGCTACGGCAGACCATACACGGGTGATGTTTAGGACGGGAGTAATACTTTTGACGCCTTGGTTCAATTCACCGACGAGATACGCCTCTGAACCTTCAAGCAAGAGCTCGGCAGTGGGTAAGACGTGAGTGCCAATCTTTTCCTTCAAACGGTGCAAGTATATCTTATTACTGACTGCATCGGGACGGGGATTGGAAGGGCGATGGAGCAAGGGCACGCGAAAGGGAACGATAAACAGAGAAAGGCCTCGCGAACCATCTTCAGGTTTGCCTGTTCTCGCAAGTGCTAGGGCAACGTCGCTTTCCGTAGCACTAGAGAACCACTTGAAGCCGTTCAGGGAGTATTGTAACCCAAGTGTGTGCTCAGTGCTTGTAAAAGATGCTACGGTTTCTGTTTGAGAGACGTCTGAGCCTCCTGCTCGCTGAGAATACCGCCACTACATTAATCCGCAAGAGGGAAATAGATCAAATTCGGACTTACCTCGGTCATCCATTGACCGGATACATATGCCAAAGAAGGGTCCCGATTGATGAGCCGGGGAAACACATGTTTCTTCATACCCTCCGTACCCACTAGCTCAATGACTCTAGCAGCACCATCGGTCATGCTCAGTGGGCAAAAAACCTTTCCAATCATTAATCATGTTCGGTGCCAGAGTTGTGTCAGAAAGAATACCATATGTCCATCTCCGACCATAAGCGTGGCTTTTGCAAAGCCATAAATCCGACTGCATTCGCCATATGTGCGTTCATAAAAGATGCCAGGAAACCCTTCGCGCTGGGCGATGGCTTTGAGTTCGCGGAATCCCTCGCTGGTTTGAAGTTCGTTGATGTGGCGACCCCATTGATCATATTGGATGAGCTGGGGGTTGGATACACGAGGACCACAGGCTCTTATATCTACAAAATCAAAATCCTGTAGTATCGCACAAAAGACATCAATAAGTCAACGCACTGGTAACCACTTCATCCCCGAAGCGAACAAGGTCAGGCAGAATATCTTTCAGCACACTGAACACCCATGAGCGACGATGACACTAGAAGTTGCTCAAAACTGGTCCTCACTCTGCGGGAAGAATCCTCTTGAGAAGAAACGGCAATACCGGGTCCGTGGTGAAAGCATTTCCTTCAATAAAGGGAGACTGAAAGATAGTGAGCTACGGCCAAGTCAACCCCAGAAAGCTCACAGACCTGCTGGAATCCTTCTTCGACACGCATAATACAACACCGGTAATGAACCAAAAGCCAAAAGAGACGGGCCGTTCTTATGTCTTTCCATGGTCATGGGCTCTGTCCAAATCGAAGAGGAAAGGGGCCGAGGAAGATCCCACTTAAATAAACTGTAGTCACATTTGGATTACACGACCGACGAGTTGACTACAATTCCATTGCACTGCATACTTTTGCAGCATTCATGTATCAGTACCGTCATAGAATGATGTACCATTACACACCTAATGCTGTTATCTTCTACCTACATATACAAGAAATGTGCGTGCACTACTCCTTTTCCACCATTGTTAGTATTGTCCTATCCCTGCATTCGCTATCAATCACGGCTCAGAACGAGTCCTCGCGATTGCCAAACGATCTGTAAGATGATGCCCTCCTCCTGGTAATTACCTATTGGCTGCGTTACAAGATCGGACGTTGTCGCTCCACTTTCGGGAAACTCTACCTTGCATCTGCTTTCAATTATATTTCAGAATGACCTATCTAGTATAACAAACAATGAAGAACTCACCCTATAAGCTGAAGCCCTCTTCCTGGTACTCAGTGGCCTTTCTGTATGCCCAGACATATTCACTTGTTGATTTTTCAAAAGAGTCTTCACCAGAGGATAAAGGCTTGTCTTAGGCCGTCGCGGGGGGTCTAGAATTAGGTGGCCCTGGATATAGGATCGGCTTTATACTTCTCGGAAGTAAATCCTATCGCCCAATTTCTGACGTGGAATACAAGACCTACAGGCATCAGTGCTTACAAAACATCATCGGACGGAGCGTTCTCTATCGCTATGAAAGAGTGACATGTACATGACACGTATAGTCTCTTGGCGGGACCACAAGATCACGAATTTCTAGACGAAGGAAAAATTAACCTGAACTATAAAGTAGGTCGGAAGGATATATGCCAGTCCACCAAGCACGACCTTTGATGAGTTGTGACGAAACCTAAAAAGGTTCTTCGGTCAAAAGGCACCCGAGTTCAAATTGGAGAAACGACAACTACATGATGAATTTTAATTAAATGGAGCAGAACCGTATATCTACAAATGGCTGTAACGGTATTCTATATAGCTCTCATCACGTCGCAGACGTGACGGGCATAAATTTACATCGGGCTTTGAACGTGCCTCCATATGTTAAGCGAGAGGAAACAGGTATCGAAAGATACAGAATCTATGAGTCGAAAATAGCCCCAAACGCAAGGATACCCCGACTCCGGAGACCATAAATAACCTTCTCCGTCAGTTTCTGGTTCGAGATAACACAGACACATTCCGGCTTGTAATCATCCACCATACGGTTCGTGAGCTTGATGATATCAGGCTTGCCATGCTTCCGCGTATCTGCGACAACCTCGTCAGATCCCTTCGGCAACTAAGAAACATTGCACGTACCGTACACGACCGCTCCAGGACTCGCTGCCAATATATCATCGACCAACGGGTCTCCGAATGTTGCACGCGTATTGGGTGCCATCCAAAACAGCTTATGCGCAACCTTTCCACTCAAAATATGAGGTGTAAACGGTGCGATTCCACTGCCAGTAGCAACGAACAACACCCTTCGGAACAGAGGCACAATCCGAAGCGCACCACACGTCGGGATACCCCTCACCCAAATCTCTTTCGGTGGGTTCGCGATCATCTCCGTCGTCCAGTCACCTGCCTGAGATATGATGATCGAGTATCCCGTCACTCCAGGAGCAGCGATGGTGGCGAAACTGTGCCATTCATTCAGCGGATCTGTGGAGAACCGCTGGAAAGAGCCGGGAACGGGATGTGGACCTAAGTGAAATGGAGTCAGAGATGTCGAACAGACGGCGGAAGAAAGACTGGCCATAGTCGACAAAGAGACGGACAGCGTGATCGGAGAGGACGACGCTGCGGACGGGAACCTTTTGCAGCTTCGTCCAGGGAAGAATCAAGGACCAGCTCAAGACCATCATGATCCAGAACGGAGCAGAGTGCACCAACACATGTCCGAGGGACTTGTCACCCTTGTAATCGTTGGTGAGGACGACGACCTGCAGTCAATTTGTCAGAGCGAACGTAGATAGCCGAGTGAGGGACAACCGCACCTGCGACCAAACCAATGCAGTTGCCGTCCACCCCATGAACCGATGCATGCGCTCGAACGCGTCATGGCGTTTGATCCGGAAGGTAGGGTAAGCAAACACGACGATCCCAATCAAGAAAGCAAGGACTATATACGTCAGTGAGACGGTGGCGACTGAAGTCTGGAAATATACATCGATTATTTTGAGTCAAGTGGACATGCTTCGAGGGGAAACGTACTCCTTTGCCTTGAACAAACTCTCTAGTCGCTTGAACGGCCAAAAGGATCAGCCAAACTGTACCCGAAACAGCAGCTCCGGAATGGATGCCTCCATTATGATACACTCTCGCAGCAGTCTTCCGAATGAAGAACGGCCATCTGAGAAAACGCGTCAGCCAACTGCAAGGACTACCAGGTAAAGAGACTCACGACTGAGGAACAGAACAAGCAACTGCGAAAAGCACGTTTATAACGTGCTCCTGCCTCATGAGAATAGCAATAAAGATATTCGCCACCGCGACGAGTGCAATCTTCTGAGAATGATATCCGCGGATTGTGTACGAGATGAAGATACCGATGTTTGTCAAGAACACGACTGAGAATAATCTGCGGTAGATAGAGAAGGCCTGCAACCGTAGATTGCGCACGAGGCGCGGCTGAGTCTTTTCGGGCATTTCATCCTCTTCGTAGCCATCCCATGGATTAACCTGTTTTTCGGCGTCGAGGACGGTGACGGTCGCCGTAGACTTTTCGGGAGAGTGGTGAATGGTCTCGATGGGACTATTTGGGAGAGAGGAGGTACTGGTGGAAGCGGAGTGGGTAAGCTTGACTGGATGTGTGTTGGGATCCATCGTGAGCTGACTGGGGAAACATTGGTGGACATGGACATGCTTTTAAAGAGACAGTCTCTCCGAGTCGGTCAGGACCACTGGGTATTAGGTGGTGCACAGAAAAGTCAGTGAGGCGACTTCCCGGAGATCATTGTCAGTAACATCTATCTCTGTGTAATGCTAACAGTCGAGATCTAGCCGCGGATTTTTTCATCCGGATACTAGAATAAGGAAACATTGGTCAACACAAGATGTACCATCAGTGTAATGCCTAGAAATTTCATTAGTAAAAAAGACGTATTCGTACCTTGATTCAGCTTTTCGTTCTCCAAGGAAAGAGAAATCCCTGAAATGGAAGCATCAAATACACCATCAGTGATTTACATGTTGACTCTTAGTATGATATCGGCGTGCGAATGCACATGCCCATATTAGCAAGATAGCTAACGTTATGGAATCCATAGCAAGTATGCTGGAGGGTCGCTTAAGCCTAGGAGAGATGGGATTGGACGCTTCCCAGGAAGACACAGTGACAAGCGCTGGAAAATGCAGTGTTCCTCCGGGAAGTATCCTGAATTAAGTATTTCACCGCAAACAATATCGGACATACCTACATCGGCGCCCACGACTCGCCCTCTGCGGCGGACATACAGTACGCATCAGTAATCTGATTATGCATGCCCACGCCAACAGCCGGTTCTTCCCGGTCCTCCGACGCGCCATCAAAAAATAAAGGCAGCGACATACGTACCTACAGTGACAGGACTGTGATGGTTAGAGAGAGCACCCCATAGAACCCGAGTCGGACCCTACTTATAGGCAAGCCGCGATGCATAGAAACTTTCAACGCTTGGACAGCCCTATTCCAGAATCTAATCAGATTACAAATGTGATAGAGTTGAGTAAGTTGAGAATTTTCCTATGGTCCAATGATGATTAGTAGTGCTTACTGGGACACTTTCGCCAACCTGATGCAAACAGAACGCCCTGTCATACCTTCTCGGCAACAACGCCATACCAAGTACCTAAAATCAATCCCAACCTGTTGCATGCGTCGGCCACCGCACCAGCATTCTCACTTCGTTGTGATTCGTAAAGGTTCATGTCGGAGATAATCGGACACCAGTTTGTACAGAAAGAGAATCATAATATCTAAGTAATTATTGTCTACTGATTACAGCGCTCCCAGAAATAAAGGGGATCGTAGTAATGAAAATCTACGTAAATGCCTATGCATATGCATGTCCCGGACACGCCATGCGTCTATCAAGAGTCAAAGATGGCACCGAAGGCAAGAATACCCCTGCTTCGAAGACCATATATGACTTTCTCCGTCAACTTCTGATTCGAAATCACACAGACACACTCGGGCTGGAACTCGTCTATGAAGCGATTCGTGATCTTGATGATATCAGGTTTACCGTGTTTGCGAGTGTCTGAAAAAAGGGATCAAATTAGAGTAAGCCATCAACAAATACATGTACCAACACACCGTAAACAACAGCCTCGGGACTGTTCTCCAAAAGTGAGTTAACCAGCGGATCGCCAAATGTCGCGCGAGTATTGGGAGCCATCCAAAAGAGTTTATGGTCAACTTTTCCACTCATAATGTGCGGCATGAAGGGCGCGATACCGCTTCCAGTCGCAACGAATAGAACCCGTCGGAAAAGAGGAATGATGCGAAGAGCACCACAGGTCGGTATACCACGCACATATATCTCCTTGGGTAGATTGGTGATCATCTCTGTCGTCCAATCACCAGCCTGGGAAATAATGATAGAGAAACCCGGCTTTCCTGGCACGGCAATGGTAGCGAAGCTGTGCCATTCGTTCAAGGGGTCAGTGGAAAACCGTTGGAAAGACCCAGGAACGGGGTGTGGCCCTGAGAAATGGTAAGCAGTCGTACACAAGAACGAGGGGAAACAGACTCGCCTTAGTCGACAAAGAGCTGGACGGCGTGGTTCGAAAGCACGACGCTGTTAACCGGGACATCCCGGAGATGTGTCCAGGGAAGGACCAGGGACGAGCTCAGGATGATCATTAACCAAAAGGCAGCCGAGTGCACGAGGGCAGAACCTAAGGACTTGTCGCCCTTATAATCGTTCGTTAACAAGACGACCTGCAGATAGATGTTCAATGCTAGATAATGAATCTTCGTGAAATACTAACCTGTGCCCAAACGAATGCAGTCGCCGTCCAGCCCAAGAAACGATGTACACGTTCAAATGCATCATGGTGCTTGATTCGGAGTGTCGGGTATGCAAAAAGAACAATGCCAACCAAGAAGAACAGGATGATGTAGGTGAACGCTACGGTTGCCGTCGACGTCTGATAAGAACCAATGTCAGTCAGTATGCAAGGAAATATGTTGGGAACCTGGTTTACCCCTTTGTTGTTAACGCGCTCTCGAGTAGCTTGCACAGCGAGGAGAATGAGCCAAACTACCGCCGGGGATGCAGCGCCAGAATGTATGCCTCCCAGGTGATACACCCTCGCAGCCGTTTTGCGGATGGAGAATGGCCAGCTGAGGATAAAAACATATTAGCAAGGGAGGCAAAAGACTGACGCTTCCAGAAAGAACCCACGACTTCGGGACCGAACAAAAGGTCAGGAACAGGGTGTTGATCACAAGTTCCTGCCTCATGAGAATAGCAATAAAGATACTCGCAACCGTGACCAACGCAATTTTCTGGGAATGATACCCTTTGATGGCGTACGAGATGAAGATGCCCATGTTCGTAATGAACACCGCTGAGAAAAGACGACGGTAGATCGAAAAAGCCTGGAGCCGCATGTTTCGTACCAGTCGCGGTTGGACCTTTTCAGGCATTTCCTCGTCCTCGTAACCATCCCACGGGTTTCCCAACTTTTCATCGGTGAGACTGCCTGTCTTCGAGGACGTTTGTGACCCTACCGTCTCCGCAGGACTGAACGGAAGAGAGGCGTTGCCAAAGGAAACGGGGACGACGCTGCTCATGGCTGGACAAACTGGAGATCACATTCGAGGGACGTTTTGCTTTTTAAACTGTAGAATAGTCCCGAAGAAGTTGAGCTCCTCATACACCAACGACATGGCGCAAACTCAACGTTTCTTCAAGCCGATTCAAGAAGAGGCATACATGTGGATTTAGAACTTCTCCATGCAGTTGTATTCTGACCTGAAGTTCTGTCCAATTGACTGTCGGCTATTCTAGGACTAGATTTCAGCCGCCGGTTTTATGCCTTGCAAGAAATCTTTCCGAGCACATGAAGAGCTCACCTCGCTGAGCGACAGAATATCAAAATTGCAAGGAAATTGCATAATAGTTTGTTTCGTATCCCTTTGGGCCACGGAAGACTATCATTCTCCTATTTAGACAACTCGCTTCTTCTGTCACAACGTTCGTCGATGGAGCACACAGTTAGGCACTGGATAGGTGGTATCAGTCGGGTATCAAGACCTTTGAATGAGAAAGAATAATATCTGTGTGAATACTAGCGCTCGACTACGGGACTTACCTTTCCGAACTACAGGACTTGTTCACCTGATATCTCACCTACACGATACCAGGGCGTAGATGTACCGGAACGTTGGTTGAAGGGTGCTTTGCTGATAAATCAGAGTTGAGTGGTGGATTGGGAGCAACAATTCCAAGATACCATTCAATTGTGACGTCTCGCGGATTGGTGATCTCATCGTAACTCGCGGCAGCGGAATATACTTTCAAAATTAATGAGCTGGAGTGATAAGCAATTTGGTAACAAGTGTCTTTGATATTATTTACACTTACTTTTAAAAAATATAAGGAGCGCTAGTTTCATGTTACTGCATTGAATGAATAATTTGATTCCGTATTTGCAACCGCATGGACATTTCGAATCTCAAAGCCACACTGATCGCCCTGATTTCGTTCTCCAGTCCATATGGAGACTGTAGCAAGCTCTCGAGAGTGCGGAGAGGACGCATATCCGTGTCGGAAAACATTGGTTGCCATCAAAAGCTTGACAAGAGAATAATCATTGACCCCAGGGAGCATCAAACAATGCTATGTAGGGTATTTTGTACCTCCAAATGGAGGACCACAGGGCCTGACGAATCCAGATCGTTGGACAGCTGTTGAAGTGAGGCACTACATCCGGGGAAAAGACCTGAACTAACTGCTGTTATTGTTTAACGTTCAACGCAGTTCATCATTTACCAATGAAATTCACATACTTTTGGAGATACCCACAACTACCATGTCCCACACTGATAGCTATGCCTACGCGCTAAGTGCATGGTATTTCATAGACTCCAGGGCCACGATGCTTTCCGTTCCTCGATCTATACCATCTTGGATGCTCTGAACGACGAACACAACCGCAGGCGTGAGGCACCACCATGCTACCGGTGATCCCAAGAAAAGACAAAGCGTCGGTGCAACCAAAGATAGAGCGTACGTCAGCTGGTAAGAAACTTGAGCGGCGTGGTGAATGTGCAATAACAGGTTCACGTGTATCAGCAGAACCAGGACAGTGAGTGCCGGAGCGGTCGTGAAGAGGAAGAAAATGTGGGTGATAGCTGACAGAACGACGATGACTTGAATGACACGGACAGCTTGTATATCGGATTGGGCATTCTCAGCACGCAATTTGCTGATCAGCTCCTCTTGCTCTGTTATCGGGTCAGATCATTGCTATGTGAGAAGAATGCAGGGAAACCTTGTTGATCAAGAACATAATCGTCACCGTCGTCGTCGTCATCGCGGAATGGCCTAGTTATACGTCGCCGGAGTGAATTCATCGGTGTGGGCGAAGTAGGCTGAAGTCGGCCGAACGAGCCCGATCAACCATTCACCATAACTTCCGCTCGGCCCCGAACCTCCGGCAAAGTATTTGTGACCATGGCTGCATGTCTACGATTTACTCGACGAGTAATGTCGCCGTTCAGTCCTTCTATTACTCATACTAACTGAAAATATGTAGGTATGGAAGTCTTTTATCGTAACCAAAGGTTGGTATTTCATCTCCCTTGTCTCATTGATACCAAAGCTTTTCGACAGGACATGACGCGCAATGTTTCCCAAACGTTCGTCTCTCGATCCATTTCACTGCTTACCTTCTTTACAAATTTTGGATTAGCTCGTTGTGGAAGACGCCAAGCCAGGAATCGTGCAGGCCTCGCTCAAGATAGAACCTTACAATAGTATGCTGCCTATCTGACTCCTAACCGTTTGTTGATGTTCAACTGTCACGAACACAGTCAACCGCGTCGGGGTAGGTCCTGGACTGAATGGTTCTCATCCCAACCTGATCTAAATTCTAATTGCTGCTTCAGACCGGTATATGCGTTTCCATTGGTTTATTTATCTCTAGGCTAACTCATTCAGCACACGGTGGTCTTATCATGTCTCTCACAGACACTATGGGATCGCTAGTCGTTGCCACCAAAGGATATTGTTTGAATGCTAAGTTTCGCTCATGTTGCAGTGTACTAATGTCTTTTACCAGGGATGACCGGGGTAAGCACCGACATTGGTGCATCCTTTGTCCGTCCAGCTGGAAGGCCGGGCGACATAATATACGCCACGTCTCATTTGACTGGTATGGGTACGTATCGTCAAGTCCCCGCATGTACATGGATCGTTGCATTCGTACCTTTTCAGGTAAATCCTTGGCATACACACGAACAGAGTTCAAGAACGCGACAGGGGATCTTGTTGCATATGGATGTCAGTAAAAATATATTTATAATACCCTGTCCATCCGTCTTATCTATTACATAGATCACACAAAGTACATTGGTAAGGCTCTAGTCCACGAGGTCCGTTTCGTTGTCCTGAATACGTTAAGCCTTGGGATTGATTTCTTTCTCTAGAACAATGTGAAATTGTCGGAAGATGGAGAAACAGTCTTGGAAGGGAAAGATCTCGAAGTAGACTAGATTAGACTTTCTTGTAGAGATAAGGTGCGTTGTTGCTAACCCTGACATGTTCACTGTACTTAAAGAGTTCCGAGGTAGAACCAGTATTCTGATATGGAGAAACAGCTGAAGCTGAAATCGTGGTGATGTTCATGTCCTCCGTTTTTATCTTCAAAAAACCATCGCCAAGTTCTCGTAATTTCCAGTGTATTTACCGGACGGTGAGGTCTGTCACCCGCTATCAAAATAATAGAACCTTCCATAGTGCCGAGGTGTACCTGCGAATTCTTGTGCTCAAACACTAGCTTTCAGGTGTACTGCTTCTACATTTACCTTGGCAAGAGCCAAAGGAGGGTTCAATGCGTACCTGTACCTGGAATCAAAGTAGCTTTGAGATTTAGATGCGTCACGGAGACACGCATGAGGAAGAGTTGTATCTCCTATCTAAAAACCAAGCTCCCTTTATTTTGACATTTATTTATTTCTTCAATCCGATGAATAAATAAATAGTTCTTCCAGCCTCGCCGAGCTGAACAAGAACCGCGACTGCGTTTTGGATACCTGCAGTCCACACTGCTTCTCCGACGGAGGCTCGGTACTCTGAGCCCTAACAGGATTTTTTTCGTCTTTCCTTCTGTTGTCGGACATCACCCAAACCGGCCCAACAAAATACTGTGATGATGGGAAGTGTCACGCGGTTCCTCAAGGCCTTTCCATGGATCCCATCTCGCTTCTCACCACTGTGATATCGACGACCTCCTTCCTACTGACTTGGATAGATCAACACCAATCCAAAGGAAAGGTATTTCGCGACTTGCGCACGACCCTCGATAACGTCTGTAGTGGTGTCCTATTACCTTTATCATTAGTCGGCACCAATGGGGGTTCTCTTGAGCCCAGCATTGTGGGCTGCTTACAGACGGTTCAAGAAGTACTCTTACGGACACGAGACCACCTGGTCGTGTGGGAGGATAGCCGCAAAATCAAAAGCGGAAAGAAGCTATGGGCGTTTCTAAATCCCGCTGTGGTGCTGGATGAGTTGAAGGACGACAAGGCTCAGCTTGTGTCCAGCGTGCAAATACTGTCGGCTGCTATTCAAATCTCATCTTTTATACGTCAACCGCCGAACACGCTGAGCCTTCCTGGGGAATCATCACGGTCACTCATCTCTAGTTCGGATAATTTGGAGATAGCTTCGAACGGGGATGTCAAAGATTTTTGGACGACTGAAATTGGGGTCGAGGTATGAGTGAACCGACGCTTTTTTGTTCGTTCTAATGACCTACTGTCTTTAGGCTTTGTACTGCTCTGCTGAATTCCTACATACTGCCCTTAGTCGCTACCTTGACAAAACATTAACGCCGGAAGCAAAGGAAATTCTTTCTCTTCGGCTGGATGAGTATGGAGTAGGATGCACTACCTTAGCGAGTCTTGATCGCTTTGTTGGGCATCGTCCATTATTAGATGCACTCATGACTCTCGGTGTCATCCAAGTCGACGAATCCCCAGGGTCTAGTATGGAAAACGTCGACCCTGCTTCCATCAAACCTATCTTGATCATGGTTGACGATGAGCCGGAAAATCATCAGTATACGATCGATTTAGTCCGATCATATAACGTCGATCTTTTCGTTTTCACATCGACAGCGTCGGCAAAAACATGGATAGATGCCAATGAGAGCAAGTCTTTATCTCTCTCCATGTACAAGTATCATTGACGTATTGTATTATAGCCATGCTATGCATCGCAGATAAGTTTGGCCGCCTGCGATGTGTATCAGATAATGCTCGTTGGGAGCAAGACAACTCCATATCGACGGCCTCGTCATTTGCTACCTCGGGAATTTCCTTGAATATATACGCCGGAGAAACTATCCTACGCTACCTGCGTGGGAGACAGTATTCCGCGCCAGTCCTCATTGCTGCCGGAAAGAGCATCATGAAGACTTCATACGTTCTCGATTATGCCAGGGCTGGCTCCACATGCTACCTTGATGTATTATTGGATTTCGTCCACCCATTTATAGCCGACGACGGTAAGGATGAAGAATGGTGGCTAGACTTCAATGTTCAGCCCAGAGACTGCACCAAGCCGCTGTTACTTTGGGTCGGAGACTCGGGTTCAGATTCTCTTCCCATATCTGGGCAGTCAAGCGTGCAGACTGTTGTTGTCAGATCACTCGTAGAGGCTCAAGAAGAGATAAAAAAGAACAGAAGTGAGGTGATGTACTTCGTTCCACTTCTACCGAGCTCTAATTTTGTGGTGTAAGATATTTATCGTCGACTGGGAAAGGCACATATGCTCCGAGTGGTGTGTTGCGAAGCTCAGGGAACCCTTCAGTCTGCTACACGAAACAGCTCAACAGGTTGTGCCCTGCTTCAGTATATCCGTTCCGATGGACATGAATGTCCATTTCTTGTGTTTTGCCGAACTGAAGACCTGCCGCGTACTGAGTACGTCCTGGAGTTTAGGAACACAGGATCCACAGCACACCCGACCGTCGTGGAGGCTTTTTTTCAGTCCCTGTCTGAGCGGAAACATCATGATTACGCATTCTGGGCAGTGCAAGGTGCCTCTCCCATCACATAAATTATATTAGCACTCCCCATATTCTGGATAAACATGGGTGCGAACGCCTCTTTTCACACTTCTAAAAAAAACGAAAGTATGTCTGCTGGTATATTTTTGCATCAGATTGCATGTCGCGCGGTGTGGGCGTAGGCGTCACTGAAATTACTGAACAGGTCAGATGGGTCACGGGATAGAAAGTCGATCGATCGCGCCCTGATCTCAGTCAGACAATTCTCCTTGCTCAGTCATCGTGCTCCAATTGTGGTATTTATTTTTCTGACTCGTTCCACAAATCCACACACGCATTACAAAACTTTTATTCCCAAACGCCCCCAGGTTGAAAGTCTCACGCAGATCGCGGACCATACAAAATCGTAGCTGTAGTTGGACCGTCGGACCGACGGCCCGACGTGCGCTCTGTATGTCTAGTCTCAAGAGGTGACTAATAATGATCAGTCAAACGCGTCCTTTACGACCTTCCCCGACGCCGTAGCCTAGCTATTTTGAAGCGAACGCATAGAGCTTTGACACGTAGACATTATAAAGCTCGGCAGGTATCATTGTGAAAGATTGGAATAGTCATCCTGGCTCAAGTTTAAACACATCGTCTCCATATAAATGCCTCCGTACTCAATGTCCTAGGACTCAAGTGCCTTCCTTCGCCTCTCGACATTGTCGCTGGATCATGTCCGATACTTCTGGTCGATCCTCCTCATCTAAGAGTCATCTACCTAAGGGAAGCGCGTGCTTGAATTGCAGGTCAGTCCTATCTATGTTTTTCATCAATAATGTATCTGAAAGCTTTCTTCAGGCGTCGTAAGATAAAATGTGACGGGAGGAGGCCTCTCTGTGGTCCTTGCTCATTATCAGACGCGTTTCGTGACTGTGAATACACCGAAAGAGGGATGAGCAGTAAAACGCAAACCCTAGAAGCACAGATATCAGTCCTTGAAAATCGCATTCAAGAACTAGAGAAAACAGGTCCGATGAGTCGTTTGGAGAATACTGGCCAATCTCACCAAAACACTCGTCTAGATTTTTTTCAATCCCATGACACTCCATGTACGCAAACGTTAAAAGTCTGAATTCGGTATCCTGATTTCTGCTTAGGTTCCTCCGATTCATTTTCGTTTCAGCTGCATGAAACTATGTGAGTCCTTTGGCAGATCCTTTGCGCCCCGTATTCAAATACCTGGTAGATTACGGTCTTTCTTACGATATTGTTCGGAAATCGGCTTTTTCCTTGATCAGGCTCGCTTTGCAGATTCTGCTACGCTTCCAAACGTTATGAAACCCTCCGCGGCTCTTCTTAGCACCGCATACCTATGGGGGATTCACCTTTCCGATTCGGATGAGATTTTAGCCTACGAAGAAGTGTTTCTTGCTCGTGCCCTCCAAAGTACCGCTCAAGGACTTTCCGGCAATCATCCTCAGCGAGTCATACACTGTCTCCAAGCGGAAGTTCTATTGGCGCACTACTTCTTTCGTAAGGCCAGAATGTTGGAAGGAAAGTACCACACCTCCTCAGCTGTTTCGTTGGTGTTGAGTGCACGCTTACACAAGATCCGCTCGGTCGAGGGAAATGGGCCATCTATACTTCCTCCCCCGACAGATAGTATAGAAGAGGATGAAAGAATAAAGGCGTTCTGGACGGTCTTCATTTTGGATAACTGCTGGACGGCAGCAGATGGATCGCCATCCAACTTCTCGAATGGCTCTCCTGATGGTAGGATTGACCTTCCTTGGCCATTGGGTACCCAGGTATGTGTCTCTACTTTATATTTTCACCTCTAATACGCATCGGTGGGTCAACAGATCCAATTTCCTCGTGGCTATCGGACCAGCCATACCGTTCAGAAGTTCCTAGCCAACCAAAACGAGGATTATGGTACTTCAACAACAGCATTATATGCGAAAGCGTCGATCATATTTCAGCAAGCATCTCGCATTGGGCTGCGCTTTAGATCCGGTGCGAGCGTAATACAGCCTTATTATTCTATGATCCTTACACCTTTTCAGGGATGTCGCAACAAGAAGCTTCTCGTTTCTTCGCTTCTTTCACCTCAATGGAACGCGTCATCCAAAGTTTCATTGAAAGTCTATCATCAGTTCAAGCTACGCTCGCATCTGCCAACCCCTCCACTTCACTCATGATCCACACCTTAGCTCATGTTTCAATGATACAACTTCACGCCCCGTTTATCTCACGGAATCCTTCTTCTCGTGGATGGGTCGCGACTCATTCTCGTGCAGCGGTTCAGGTTCTAAGCAATATTGATATTTCCGGCACACCATTTCTGGATTCATTTATTGGTGTGAGTTTCATACCACACCGCTTACCTCCTGTGACTGTCTAATTATCTAAATAGGTGTTATGGGCCATACTTGGCGAGACATTGATAAAAGAATCTCGCAGCTTCATGCCGGCATCGGAACCGATGAGACTATTGGGTGAAGTTATGGCTTCAATGAGGACTGTGGCACCTCGATCTCCTTTTATCAGTAAGTCTGTCATTTGAGGCGAAATATGTATCTGATCACAGCTGTAGATGTTCAGCTGGATAAAATACGTCACTTACATGCTGAAGTAGTGAATCAGTGATAAGTCTTTGAACCTCAGTATAGACATAATCTTAATATCATAGAATATTCTTAACATAATCACATACAACTTTGCTAGAGTAGTAACTGAAAAATGCCATATTACGACACTAATGACAAACTTAGCCATTGGCTAGCACCCCACTCTGAAGTCTAAAGATATACCCTGATATTCGACAACCGTGGTTTCAAGGTGGCGCCAGTACTCGAATGCAAGTGGTCCATACGGGACAATATTGTCATTACTACTCTTTTCGGGTCAAGGTATGATACTCATTTTTGGACTCAATCATGGAACCCGGCCATGATCGGGGTTTTCCCTATAATGTTCGTTGCGAACAAAATAGAATAAAAAAATATCGTAAAGACCGTTTCTATATGGACATACATAATCCTACCTCCTTCCTATAATGATCTACAGCACACCAAGCAAGGCCGATACCAGATCGTGGGCCTCCTAAACACATAACATATAACTTTCACAGGCCAGCAGAGGATCTTTGACAATCTGTGCCATTTAAGAGTCGAAGATGGCTCCAAAAGCGAGAACACCCCTGCTGCGGAGACCATAGATGATTTTCTCCGTCAATTTCTGGTTCGAAATGACACAGACACATTCCGGCTTGAATTCGTCAACAAATCGATTTGTGAGCTGGATGATGTTAGGTTTGCCGTGCTTTCGAGTATCTTAAAATATCCATCAGTGAAATTCAAGAAAGTTAAAAGCTTAATGCGAACCATATACAACAGCGCCAGGACTGTTTTGCAAAATCATGTTAACCAATGGATCACCGAAGGTAGCACGAGTGTTCGGCGCCATCCAGAAAAGCTTGTGGTCCACTTTCCCACTCATAATATGAGGCGTGAAGGGAGCAATGCCGCTTCCGGTGGCCACAAACAACACCCTCCTGAATAAAGGAATGATCCGTAGGGCACCACAAGTGGGCACACCCCGTACGTAGATCTCCTTGGGAGGATTAGTGATCATCTCTGTAGTCCAGTCGCCGGCTTGGGATATAATGATGGAGAAGCCCGGCTGTCCCGGGATGGCAATAGTGGCAAAACTATGCCATTCATTCAAAGGATCTGTGGAGAATCTCTGGAAGGAGCCAGGGACGGGGTGTGGGCCTGTAAAACAGTCAAAACGATTCGAAATCGAAAGACAGAAGCATACCATAGTCAACGAAAAGTTGGACAGCGTGGTTGGAGAGCACAACACTGCGAACAGGAACTTTGCGTAGTTTCATCCAAGGGAGAATGAGGGATAAGCTCAGAATGATCATCAACCAAAAGGCAGCCGAGTGCACAAGAGCAGAACCTAAGGACTTGTCGCCTTTGTAATCGTTGGTTAGCAAGACGACCTGCAGATAGACGTTGAATGATAGGCAGTAAGTCTTCTTGATGGAATACTAACCTGTGCCCAAACGAGTGCAGTCGCTGTCCAGCCCAAGAAACGGTGTACACGTTCAAATGCGTCATGGCGCTTGATCCGGAGTGTCGGGTATGCAAAAAGGACAATGCCAACCAAGAAAAATAAGATGATGTAGGTGAGTACTACGGTTGCCGTCGACGTCTGATGAAAATCGAGGTCAATCTGCAGGTATTAAGCTAACATGAAGGTCAAACTAACCCCTTTGTGATTAACACGTTCTCGAGTAGCTTGAACAGCGAGAAGAACAAGCCATACTACGGCCGAGAATGCCGTACCAGAATGTATGCCTCCAAGGTGATACACTCTTGCAGCGGTTTTGCGAATGAAAAAGGGCCAGCTAAAGTTGATAGGTAAAGCTGTCAACAAAGAACAAGGTTGATACGGTAACAGACTCACGACTTGGGGACTGAGCAAAATATTAAGAACAGGGTGTTGATCACAAGCTCCTGCCTCATGAGAATAGCAATGAAGATATTCGCGACCGTGACTAACGCAATTTTCTGGGAGTGGTACCCTCGGATCGCGTACGAGACAAAGACGCCCATGTTAGTGATGAATGCCACCGAGAACAAACGACGGTATATCGAGAACGCTTGGAGCCTCGCGTTTCGCACCAGACGTGGCTGGACCTTCTCGGGTATGACGTCCTGCTCATAGCCGTCCCACGGATTACCAGCCTTTTCGTCCACCAATTCTTTAATCTTGGAGTGAGAGTCGGAGTGGTGCACCGCCATGTCTATGGGACTATGGGGAAGGGTGATATGGCTGGATGAGTCCATAGGCGCGCTGTTGCTCATGTAGGTTGCGAGAGAAACTACAGAGGAGGAAACTTGAACTCTATTCTATTTATCGGAAACAAAGTCCGTATCGGCGAGATACCCCAATTGACCGCGCAGGACGAAAAGAGGAGAACGAAACGCGAAAACGCATGCAAGGATGATGGTGTGCCGTCAACGATCTTGATGCTTTCGGTGACTGCCCTGCACGGTTTCCGGGATCATTATGAACTAAAAATGATGTTCTGATCTTCAGAAGGACTTCGGAGTGTTTCCTTTTCCCTTTACTCAAGCGGGCAGTTTCTATACCATGTGTGGCCTGAAACTCATCAACCCCCAGTCATGATTGACACAGAAAATGCGTACCTTGTCTGGGCTTAGAGGCATATGCCAACGACCCCAGATTTTTCATACCGAAAACCATTGCGCCAATGGGTATCCATATTACTATCGGATTCCTAGATAAAGACAACTGATGATGAAGGTGGCTCGGATGTATGACCGAGCAATATGCTCATTCATCTTAAAAGGTCCGGGTACACACATCATGTGCTCTCCCCGAGGATGGCGATGATGAACGAACGCCAAGGACATGAGTTCCTGCAAAGCAGACATTGTCTCAGTATCGGGATTGTTACTAGAACAATGCTCACCTTCGTATGGTCCGGCATCCGTATAAGGATTATCGAATGCAACGCAAACAGCATAATACCTAATCTGCTGTACAACGACTTAGACCGAAGCTTGTGAATACTGTTGAAAATTAAAATTCGTTGTGAAAGACTCAGGGTAGGTACCATATACGGCGTTCGGCCGTATAGAGGGCAGGCCGTCAACCGTCAAAAAATTTGGCCTTGACGGTACGGTGATGGCGACGGCCATCATTACCGTATATGCTCCGACGGTTTCCTATAGAAGCAGAGGACAGAGTTAAATATAGCAGAAACGGACAGCATTCGTCGTTTTACGGCCCAAAACGTTCACTACCTGTATAGGACCCGTATGGTCCAAAATGAACTGAAACTCTTTAACGGTATGGATACGAGACCCCTACAGCCGTACCGCGACGGGGCGAAGCACTATTAGCAGTCACTGAGAGGTTTCATTAGTTCAGCTAGGAATATTCTGTCAGAAATATACCCCAAATTAAAAAATATATTTTAGCTCCAAGGACAGAAACTTACTACAGCTGAGATGAATGGCAGTTACTATGAAGTAACCGAAATGGCGGTGCAATTGAAACCTCTGATGTCTCCGTAAGCTCCAGACAAGACGGAGCACACTGAGCAGAACTAAGATCACAAACAGGGCTGTGACATGTCAAAGAAGTAGCAGAGAGATTAACTTCGGGCCGTCAAAGTGAAGCAAACCAGAGGTCGTGGCAGAACGAATTTAAAATTGAACGTGAAGATCATTATTCGTCGGCTTTATCCGAAGCTGAATTGAGGTTTGAACAACTCCCCAACCCTGTCTTCTGTAGCGCTTCATTCATGCCGTGAATGAACAGTTCCTGCAATTGGCGGACAGGAACTTATACCATTCCATTTGAGATAAAGAAAAGTGAATTAATAGTGTCCTTGACCCGGGAGACTAATAGCGTGAAATCTACGATCCCCAGGAAATGGAGATAATCTGAAGACCTACGGTACACATTTGTGATAAGGAATCAGTGCAACCCGGGAGTGTCGAGCTGCCAGGAATAGCATGAAGACAAAAGGTTGGATACATGGATACATCTATTAGGCCTTAGTGTCACAACTGAGGATACTGTACTTTGCACCGCGGTGGAGGCCCATGCGACTGTGCCAAATCGGGCCAAACCTCTCATCGGAAAGTGCTAGCTGAACAGCGGTAAAGACATGGAGAACTCCGCCTCCTGGCACATGGGTCCTCTGTACTTACTGTTTGTCGCCTCGCACGTTTATCACGCCGCCTCGTCGCCGGTGCCTTCATACGACACTCCAGGGCCATGCTAGTAAGTTATATAAGCCAAAATGCCTAGCAGAAAACCACTGTGTTCACACCAAGAATGTTTCCAAGCCGGTCTAGAATCTTTTCAATCTACTCAGTGTATATGCACTTGTCGAACGGGAACCTGATCTGATAGGACCTTTGGGATAATCATACACACTAGTCTGTGAGCAATAGACTATGTCTCCACATCAGAGGGTTCATGGTCAAGCTTAGCCTCCGGCACCGGAATAGTCGATGCATCTCGTCGTCATGAGGTTCAGTATGTTCGAGGGTGGTTAGAGCAGATGAGGACAGCCCTGAAATACTGGTCTTGAAGTTTGTGCTGACGAGAGTTAGTATTAATGGAGCAAGAGCGAAATTGTAAAAGGTTGTCAAAAGCACAAGAAACTTTTTGCTGATGGTAACATGTACGGATCAGCGGTAAGCGTCGAGAAAGGGAATTCTTGTTTCAAGGAATGATCCCCTGTTGTGTAAAACTACCGCAAGGCCCCGAAAAGCCATCTAGCGGAAGAGGAAGGACTAGGTAAAATAGAAAACAGATCGTGTTCCGACCAGCACCATAACATATGGCCATCTGTTGACTTCAGAGACAGTCAAGAACCAGATGGCCCTCACGGTAGAAATCCAAGTCCGCCTATACCGATTCTATGATAACCGAATTTCGACTGATAGCTGATATTTAAGGGCCTTCATCTTAATATTTCAGTTGCTGATAGAAAGGTATCATCACAGTGATAAGGCTCTCTGTATCTGAGTTGGTGACTCGCAGAAATATAGACCATCAGACGGCATCACAGACGCTCCGATTAGGATAGTGACCTAGGATTGGATAGATGTTGGTGAAACTCTGTACAAGACCCATCCATACCTATCCTGCATTTATAGATGGCAGGCCAAGAATTGGATTTACATCAAGGAGTCTTGAAGGAACTTCTGAGAATGTATGCGCAACAAGTGCCGAACAGTCTCGAATTGGACTACAATGGTTTTCTCACGTTCACGTGTGTTTGCAATCTGACAGGCTCTTGCCTGATTGAAGTCTCTTCAAGCTTCCATTTTTTACTAGTCCTGTCCTTTGGTTGACTGATTTTTTTGAATCATTTCCATTTTAGTATACAACAACTACAAATTTACAATCCGCCTGTGGTGCAGGTAGGAAGAAGAACGATAAGTTCACTGTAGTATATATTCGTTGAGGTACCGGTCTTAATTCCGAAAAGATAGGAACGGTTCAAATTGCGTGTTGAACCAGTTTCTGAAAAATTTTGGTGTACGTCCCGACCCGCAGTGTGCGGTGAATGTCCGACCCTAACACATCAACCATCATGCAAGAACGAGTGAATAAAAAGTCGGCGCAGAATAAACAAGGTACCCGCCAGTGTCCCAGCGCGACGATGCCAGATAATACTTTTAACCCAGTGTGTCCTGACAACTCGGCTTGAACCATCAACATCTTCTAAAGGAGATGGCTTTGTCATATAGAGTCTGATAAGTTCTCAATATCTGTTTACAATTCCGATAACCTTCTTTTTCAGCTTCGGAACCTTTATCTCCAATAAATAGCCACTAGAGTCCGCCGAGCTTCTATGGGAAGGAACTTGAAGGTCATTTTTTCATCCCCATGTTGACATTAATACTTCAATTAAATTTGACACGATAGCTTTCGGATTTCATGGCTAAGAGTATGAACTCGCTCACAAAGGCAGTACTGGCAGTTTCGAATTTGTGAGCATCTATCTATTCAGTCTTCTCCGACATGACCTCGTTCAAAGTCGGATAGAGACTCTTTGGCTGCTGGCACTTTCATCGTCCTTTTCTCCTATGGTAGTGATCTAATATCAACATTAAATTCATGTGTTTTCATGCGCCGAGTGAGATTCCTCACAGACTGGCTACCCTGCCGCAAGAAAGGTCATGGTCTTGTTACTTATCGTTCTTCCAGGTTTTTCGATAAACCTGAGTCTCGGTCTCAGTCAGGTACGTGTTCTATCATATACTATCAACACATTCACTTAACGTTTTTACCAAGAATATCATACCTAAGTTACATTGGTCCAGGATAGTGTATGGATCCCGGAATGCGAAAGCAGTCGGACTTTTGATTTCTTGGCCTCGGACGAACGTTCGGCCCAGATCTCATCTCATCCCATCCCATCACGACACGGTACCTTCAGGCACGCTGGACACAAGGATACAGGTAACTGCACTACGAAACCTAATCCTCACTACCATCTAAACAACCTCCAAGCTGCGCTCACGACCGAGAAACCCAAGACCGAGCAACCCAAACTGTTGTAGAAGTTAAAAAGTAGAATCATGACCGAACCTCGCAACTTACTCGGCGTCAGTCTAATGATACTCATCACACAGAGATTCGAACTCGTTTCGTTCTCTTTCCAAGATCTCTAGGATGTAATAATCTGGATCCTGGATTCGGACGTATGGGACGCCCAAACAATTGGTTCACAGCCGCATGCATGCACAGTCCATTCGTTCTCAGGGAACGACTTGTCCGAAGGTAATGCCCGGAAAGATACGTATCAGTGCTATCATTCTGTTCTTGTTGTTGAGAATCGGTTTCGTGCAAAATGATCATGCGTCGCCATTGGCACTTTCAGGATCGGCAGGTTCTTTGTTGGGATCATCATGATTATGGCTGTTTGTCATTCGCAGCACAATACGAAGAGTCTCTTATGTTTGCTACATCCTCAAGACAAGTACACTGGAGATGTCATTCTGACAGTCTACGACAGAACTGGGCGACACGAAGCAGTTCTTACTCCAATGTTTTGATGCACGAGAAGAGGAAACAATTGCGCCCCACTTGCAAATTCCCCAGGAGGACTGTTCCCTGAATATCGACCCGTCTCTGAAGCTGATTTTCTCTCCTATCATCGTCCGTACAGCCGGCGAACCAGCTGAGTTCTTTGCCGGGTCGTAGGAGATACTAGTATCCCCGTCTGCTACGATCCTTACTGTTGTCAATCTTGACATGTCTCTGTGATTGATGTCTCGATAAAACGGTCCAGCTTTTATGTCGCACGTTCTCGGCGCTGTGAAGGGGACTTAATTCATCGCCTTAGGACAGCTCTAGGCTGCAAGTCACGCATATGTTTTTGTAATCATCCTTGCAGAATTACTCAGCTGAAAGTGTATCACGTTTTTTTGTTCAACCCGCACTCAGTGGAGGGCAGCGAACCATCTGTGTTGTTCCGGAAAAGGTACGACGACGCCGTTGTATACATCGGGTTGATGATGTGTCCGAATATATTCACACGGGAAGATGAACATTTTCGAGAAACCTGAATTTGAGCACAGCTGTCATGTTTTGGGAGCATCGTTTGGAGGTTGGCGAACTTCGCATTTTGGAGGCATCTGAATCCCGTGCCGCAGGGATACATTTCGGGAGCACCCAAATTTTATATAAAATCTGTGCCGAGATCTATCTCCCAAAAACGTCACTTCGTTGCACAGATTCTGGTTGCCCTCAAATTCTCATCCTTCTGGTGTGAATATTTGAAAAACTGAGTATTTGTGGACATCCATGCGGTGTAAAGTGGATCGGCCATCCTCCGACAGATACATATGTGTATGTATAACGGAAGGACGACAGTGCCTGAAATCATCTTTGAAATTAATTACCACGAGTTGTAGCAATAGAACATGTTTTCGACACACAAATTGAGACCCTGGTCAGTACTGTCAGTTCCCATGTTACTTCTACAAGATGCGTTATTTTCCATCAAAACACACGGTAGACTTGCTTTGTTGACACCGCCTAGCAGCCAAAATATGAACCTACAAAGATAACTATTCATGGTTTCCGCTGATAGAAGCCTTGACTGATGTGGCGGATAATGATGACACCTATTATCGGGGCGTAATCACTTGATGACTTGCAAGGACAGCACAGATAAGCTTGCCATACTACCGGGAGTAACCCAAGCTAGGACAACGATGCACCCAGTGAACCAAATAGTGATGTGGCATACCACAGAGAATTTCTTGATAGGAAGGAGAGTGACAAAGACTCTGCTGGTTCGACGTATGATCCTGCTTTGTCTATGGGGGTGGAATAGATATGCCTACCTAGCTACGTGAACCGTGCCTTGACTTTTTCCAAGTCCATATCAGTAGAGCTCCATATTTTCTCGGTACCTTCCACATTCTCCTTGAGCTGACCAAGTTTTTTCAGCATACGGATACCGCAATCAGGTCCGAGTGGTATCCTCGTCCAATTCTCATCTAGCTTCACCTCACCCGTTACAATCTCAAACAATCGTGCTGATAGTTTCTCGGCATCGCCTACTTGTCCGTCTTGGATATGCTTTTCATGATACAACTTTGTCAGGCCGTCGTATTCGGGATACATTGCAAACGATGCAGATGAAGATGTGTTGAACGCGGTGGTGAGGAAATTAGTGGGAAAGAATCCGGGTGCGACGCTGCGGACGATAATACCGAATTTAGAGACTTCTCGTGCAAGCGAGTCAGTGAATGCTAAGGGGCACACAGTCAGCACAGATCAGAACCGGTAAAGAAAAGCATACCATCCAGGGCGGCTTTACTGGCGTTGTATGCATCAAAAGGTGGGTATCCGTCAAAACCAGCAATAGAAGAGAAGTTTAATATCCATCCCGAATGAACCTCGCGCATAAGAGGGATGAATGCTTGAATTAAAGATATTGGTCCGAAGACGTTGGTCTTGAATTGCGACTGAATATCATCGGCCCTATCAACACGATACATCAATAGATGCCAATATCATCAAGTCCAACAAGACGCACAACAGAGTTTCCACAGGACCGGTGAGACAGTATCCGGCATTGTTGACAAGTACATCGACGCGTCCGTAAATGTTCCACGCACTCACAGCAGTCTCCTTGATTCGAGAATCTGACCAGTTGAGATCAAGGGGCAGGGCTGATGCAGTTTTGAGTGAGATAGGCAACTTGTTGGTATCTCGAGCGCATGCAATCACCTTGGATACTGATGATTAGGCTGCTGCGGCCAATGAGATGAAACAGCAAACCTGGTGACCTTGACCAAGGACATATTCAGCGATCGCCAATCCTAATCCAGAATTGGCACCTGTTATCAACCAGACTTTCGATGTGGGGGACATGGTCAAGCTGTTGGATGTCGGTACCCCCCATGGTCCGTCTTTATATCCTCCTGGACCACGACGTCATAAATGATGCGCTGAATAATGCATCTTTTCGCGAGTCAAAAAAAGAAGGGGCCGGGATCGGAGAGTTGACCCACCTGAAGGTCCCACTTGGTTATTACTGTGATTATGAACGTCGCTTCCTACTCCAGCCCAGAAGGAAGAAAGTTATGTTCAGATTCGAAAGTGGCTGTTGTAGAAAAAAGATTCGGGCATCTAGCGCGAGCAGAGTGCTGGAAGTTCAATTACAATTTTGAAATAGTTAACGGAAGAATTTTTTGGCATTCTCCACGTGAGTTCCCACGACGCGCGTCACGGCACGGTTAGACCTGGAAGTAGTGAGAACGCTTACATTCGACGCGTCGAATCGGATTGATAATATCAGGCTTACAAGGACAAAGCTCTGCGAGCCGAATGCAATCCTTCTTGAGCCTCACACTCGCTCATGTAGTGAATCTCGTTATAACTGTTTACATACGTCTTGACAGTAAATGCGCTTCTTTTGTGAGTGGAGAGAGCGATTTGGACTTGGTCATAAACAAGGCTTTGCGGCGCTAGTTTATGGGCGCCCCTTGAGTTTACGGCGGCTAAGGCTGTTTCGGGGATCTCGGAGTGGCTTTGACGCTTGGTATGCTCGGTATATGACGAAGCCCGCCAGATTGTCAACCTATACGTAAATGGCTATTATCTAGCAAGGTGATCCACTTGAGTTCCTCGGCCTTCACACCTGCGCCTTTTATTAGCCACTCGTTCACAATAACCCTGTGACCACGGTGGGGCAGAGGGAGAAGTAGCTGTTCAAATGGCACCGCTATAAATCTTGGGTCGAATGGTATCTGACTGAAAATCCCGGTCAGTCAGTGTATGCCATCTCCATGGTTGGGACGCAAGCCAGTATCGAACTTCTATCCTCCGCTATTGAGATATTTCCTTACACTGGGAGGAGGAGCATCCACATCAACAATACCTTCATCGCTGCTAATCACTTACTTCACATTGAGATTCTCAACACCCTGGACACAGTGAAACGTGCAAATGCTCGGCCTGTTCCACATCACAGTTACACTCATTTCCAAGTACAGTAGTCGCATGTATGGATATGGTCAACCCGGGGACATTTGACAATTTTGAATAATCGGACATGGTGATTGAGTAAAACGAACTTATATATCGCCCATCATTCTTTGTCTGTATTAGAATGAGTGGGGATTTATCTTATATTATTGCAACCAAAAACTCACAAAAGCGGCGGTGGTTCACTTAAAACACTGTCGCCACCGAGCATTTCCCTAGCCCAGACGTCTCGGATGAACCACCCTATATGTCCCACCAAACATCCTATGAGATCTCCGGCAGCTGCCTTCCATGTCCCATTGAGGACCCACGAGAACGCCACCAGTGCGAACGGCAAATATGGGGCAGTTATAGTGACCAGCCCAAAGAGGCTGATCGGCGTGGATGGATGCCTCCGTGACCACACGTATATGGGAACAAACGCCAATGACGAGCTCAAGAACGGCAAATTAAACATTGGGCTGAGAACTAGGAGGAGCACCGCTGAGAAGATCAAGAGATAAAGGTAGCTGGCTGGACGGTGCGCGAAGCTGCTCTCTTCAAGCATTCTGCTGTAGCGCATAAAGAAGAAGAGATGAAAGATGAGGTCGAGGGAAAATGTGCCAAAGTAGAAGAAGGTTGTGAGGGCACGCCAAGGTTGGAGGTTAGTGAAGGCGCTCTTCGGAGAGAAGTATAGCTGAAGCGGAGTCAGCAGTTGACATTGCACGGCAAGGGAAGTTAACACAGCGGCCAAGAGCCATGACCGGGTTATTGGAGGTATCTGGGTAATCCACGCCTCGATTCCGACGGGCATGGTGGATGAAAAGAACGTGAACCGCGACGTGTAACGTGGCCTGAGGTCATTATTTGGCTGAAGCTTGTAAGGGACGCTGCATTTATTTAACTGTTTCATTTCTGCTGCTACTCTGAAGATAACTTTGATTCATTCTGCTTCGCCTTTACTCCTGCAATTTTTCCTACTCGATTAATATCTGTGTCCTGGTGGAACATGGGGGGGAGGGAAAGCAGGTAATTGTTTGGCAGGGACGTCTGAAGTACCAGAGGTAAATCAACAAGGATTTAACGCATCTTCATCAACATCTCCTATACCGTTAGCAGCTCCTCTTCGTTCGTTCTTTTATTTCCGTGCTTTATCTATCTTCTTATCTCTCTATTATGTCTCTCACCCCTCCTCTTTCGCCATCATCAATTGCACCCATCACCCGTACCATTGCCATCATCAAGAACCATGCGCTCTCGCACCGTTTCGACATTGAGCCCCGTATTCAGGAAGCAGGATTCGAGGTATGCTGTGCTCTGGAACATCCACAGGCCATCCTCACAATGAAAATAGATCGTCAAAGAGCGTCAAATGGAATTCGATGTCGATTCCGACCCTGAGTACCTCTATGAACTCTTCGGAGATGATGCTGATTCTCTGGGAGAGTGCGTAATTCTCTCTGATGACAGTAATATGCGAACTTAATCGAAATAACGCGATTTAGAGGTCCTGTCTGGGTCTACGTACTTGAGCGCCGCCGTGCCGTCGAGGTTTTCCTTTCATTGATGGGTCCTTCCGATCCAGCCGAGGCTCCGCCTCATTCTCTTCGTGCCCTCTACGGTCTTTCAGCAGCCCAGAATGGTATAATGGGCTCTCCCGATACCCATGCTGCTGAATTGCAGATCTCCTCCCTATTTGCTTCCTCACCGCCGTTCCCTATTTCCGACCTACCATCCGTGGACAGCGGCGTAATTGCCAGCCCCACCAGCGGCAGCCTTAAGTCTCCACCTTCAACTATCGGCAGCAGATCCGGGAAAAATACTCAGTTCAAAGCTCGCGGCCTCCCAGCATCTCACGCAGCACCGGATATCGTACCTCGGACCACCAGAGCGGCCTCATTGCGAGCTGGGGTCGTCGTTGCACCTTCGGAAAACAAACATCGAGTCCCTCTGTCCAAGGAGCGACTCGCTAAAACATTTGCTAATGTACCTGGCCATAAGCGCGCCGAGACTATCCAGGTGGCTTCAACGAACGCGCCAGCAATCAAACCACGCATGACGAGGGCGGCCGCATTGAGACTAGGTATACCACTTCCGGAGGCATCTAAGAAGACTACGCCGCCTACGGCCAACGGAACAAAACCGAAGACAGATGCCATCTTCGAGGGTATACCGGGTCATAAGAGGCGAGAGACAATTAGTGTCCCATCACTGGCTACTCGACCGTCTCTTGCCCCAAGGATAAATAAGACTTCAGAATTGCGAGCGCAGAAGGATAGTGCGCCGCCGACGTCATTCATGTGTAAAGTTATCGCTCAGTCATCCTTGGAGAAATCCTGATTATTATATATAGTTCGGCAGCCGACCACACCGAAACGACCCGGATCTGCGAATAGCCTTTCCCGGAGTACGTCTCGTACGTCCTTACACTCGCATCCAGCGGCGTTATCTCGCGCTACGTCTGCGATGGCTGTCAACAGAGTACATCAGGATGCGGCATTAACGAAGGAGCCTTCCAAGACCTCTGCGTCAAAGGTCACAGAGCAACCAAAGAAGAAAGCGCCCCGTCCTAGTAGTATCTCTGCACCGGCGATTGTTCCACGAACAAACCGGAGTGCGGCATTAAGGGCGGCTCAAAAGGAGGCCGAGACGGCTAAGATGAATGGTGCGGGAGTGAAAGTACGGGCAAAGTCTGTCATGGTTTAGATTGAGGTTTGGGTCACTTTAAAAAATTTAAAGATCGCGCTGGTCGCTCGTTTATGAAGAGGAGCAAATCTTTCCGTGACTCGAATCGGTCCAATATGTGTGGACCTTTCTAAGTCCAATCCCGTTTTACTTTTTTCTGTCTTGCGATCTGCGACTCATTATGCGCTCATCTCACTTTCCTATTACTAATTCAAATTTTTTATGTTGTTCATTTCATGTTATTATTCCTCTATGTTTATAGCGAGGGTCGTTTCTCGTATTTCTGATGTACATTGGTTACTTTATTATTATATGAAGCTCTAGGTTATATATTATGGAAAGATGGCGGCCTACCGCAACGTTGCAATTAGAGAGTTCTTAATTCAATCATACATGAAAGAAAGGACACATAAATTACGGTAATAATATCACAATAGACTGCAACGAGCGTGAACGGTATGTCAAACGAATGGTACGAAAACAGAGTACAAGATCCAAAAGAATGTGTTGGGCAATACATTGAACAGCGCCCCTGGAAATGAGCCACAAAGACTCGATCAGCCCGAAAGAAAAGTCCCTCAGCATTCCGATATTGGCCCCATCGTCGTCATGTACCGCCGATGCTTCTTCAGGCCTGTTTTCTGCGTAGGGAAAGCAGGAGGCGAAACCGGAGGAAAGACATACTGTCCTTTCAAGTGCTTCATCAGCCTGTACATCTCATAAGGGGCCATCTCCATCGATGTCGTCGGCACCTTGGGGGGTGGCGGTACGTTCCCCTTGAACACGGTCATTGATCGGGGTGGGAGCGCAGAGCCTTCCCGCGTCCTGGCATGCATCTCTCTCGAAACGACAACAAGGAGTAAAATAATTATGCACATCCCCACGATGACCATTTGTGGGAAGAATCCGATCGTGTCTGCAGAAACGGTTAAGGCAAAGAGAAGGCAAAAGGAAGGAGGCACACCAATTAAAAATCCATCCAAACCTGGCGCGTCAGGCATGCTGTTCCTCAGCTGTGGGAGTGCCACAAGCATTGCCCCCACAGAGACAAGGTGCTTGAGCACGGGTTTCGCGGTATGCAGCCGGCGGGCCAGGATAACATGACCGATGCAGACGTGTGTTAAGATCCATGAGACGATGAACAGCAAGAGCGCAATTCCACGGGCATCCGTCGGGCGATTGATGTGCATGTCCAGATCTCTTGTCGGAAGTCTCGTGCCATCAGCCAAGTCCGAGTAGCTCTCCACATCTGTCGAGTCGATGTCGAAGCTTGCTGTCAGCGCCATCGTAGCGAGTTTGCTTATAGTCAAAGTTTGGTTGGTCGTCCCCGATACGGCATGCAGGGTGCTTGAGAGGTAATATGTGTCAAACGGATAGAGCCGGGCTTTGCTCACGTCGAGGACGTGGTCGCTATCGAATTGCACAAGGTTCTGTATGCTAGAGATTTGCGGTGAGGGGACCATTTGGTGAAGAAGAAAAGAACGAAACGAACTTTCTCCGTAGCCCAGTATCTTTGTTGAATGGTATTTCGGTAGGATTGTAGGTGGCTGTTGGCTGTGGGTCTCTATATGCGCGCATAAGGACAAGCTCCTCTTTGAAAACGGACGAAGACACAGACCCGTCGACGTATATGTATACAAGCTCATTGGGAAGCCCGCAGTTCTGGCTACCATGCGAACCCTCTGAACCTGGGAGCACATTGGCCTGTCCACACGCCATGATAGACCACCGAATAGTAATAGAAGGCTCGTCAACATCTACATCGACGTTGTCACCGATCAGAACAATCTGAATTTCTCGTGAGGAATTGCGGTAATAGTAATTAAGGAGAATACATACACCAGGACTAACGTTGTCCAACATATTCTTGAAAGGCGGATCTCCTGCATCAGCACCATTGAATACGCATGATATGGTGCCAATGAAGACAAGAGAAAGAATGATACACATGCCAAGTTTGAAGCTTTGAGGTATCGAAGTCGACGCCTGGCCATGGAGCAGAGGGATAGCAGAGCGGGATTTTGGGGAGGCAGCAGGAGGCGTAGATGGACAAGCTGTCGCAGCAGCTGATGGTGGGACATCGCTTTGTTCCCGAGGAGTTAGATGAAAAGAGCGAAGTCTCTGGAACGACTGGCTGAGATGCCCGCGATGCCCGAAGGAAGTCATCCTCAAGGTGGCGCGACGGGGAGGATGAGATGGGAAGGGTAAGGTGGGGCAGGCGAGATGTCCTGTGTATATAGCCAATTTACGGGGACCGCCACCATGTTATGAGGCAGTCAGAATGAAAATTAATTCCATTGAGAAGCTGAGATCGACATTCGTGACGAAGTTACTGTCAGACAGATAGATCTGGGCGGACATAGAGCGGTCGTAAACGTGTTTCAACGTTCAAAGGCAGTGAAATATTGAAAGCCATTTGCACTAAACTGTGGCAGACATCGAGGGACGTGCATGTATCGTTTCAGAAGGTATATCTGTTCCAAGGATAACCGCAGAGCACAGAGTACTGCAATACTTGATGCAGGTTAGTGGGTTATTGATATCTCGCTTCCGCATATTCTTGAGTCTAACCTTTGACGGCTCAATAACGCCATGAACTGGAATAAGACGGTGAATCTTTGTATCGTGTGTCCATGCCAGAGATGTATTAGGATGCCAAGTCGTTCATCAGAATCGGCGAAGCAGTCCAGGGGTACCTCTCCGTTCGAGTCGTCGTCAGGAAAGCATGGCGCTTTTGATGTTTCTTCGACTGTCGTAAATACGAAATTGCCCTATGAAACATGAATGGATGATACATCATGGAGAATCGTACTTACGTAGGCGTAGACTTGACAATCGAACAACTCGGGAAGGCCGCTCAGGTTGATCAACTGAGGTGTAGACTGATTTGATATGTGTAAGGCAAAACGCTCTCTCGGCGGTGAATGACTGGGAGGTAATAAGGTAATATCTTGGATTGCACGACTACCTGCATGTTTGGCTGGTTTTATCATAACAGTGAGGACTGTAACTTTGACTCGGAGATGTTTTGCGGACTTCACCGAAGCTTCGGATTCGACCTTCCGTGACCCCGTTACTTTTCGCGAATTGTCACGCTCTTCCTTGGTATTGGGCAGGGTGCCAAACACACGTCCAGCTTCCTATTGTCCACCATGGCTGCCTTGAACAAGCTTGCCATTCGAGGAATTCGATCTTTTGATGACAAGCAAATATCTGTCATTGAATTCTTCACTCCCGTAACCGTTATCGTCGGACACAATGGTAGCGGAAAGACGACAATTATCGAATGTCTTAAGTATGCCACTACCGGAGACCAACCTCCCAATACTCGAGGGGGCGCCTTTGTTCATGATCCCAAGATGGCGAACGAGAAAGAAGTGAAGGCACAAGTCAAACTACGATTCGTCTCTGCGAGTGGGACGCGCATGCTCGCTGTCAGGAATCTCAGCGTTACGGCGAAGAAGACGTCGGGTTTGACAATGAAGACGCTTGAGGGTATCTTGGCGCTGGCGGATGGCAATGCAGAGAAGGGTAGCAAGGTGCGCCCCACACATCACTCTCACTTATGTGTAACTAAGTCAGACGTTCAGAGAGGCGTCATCTCTACGAAATGCGCTGAACTCGATACAGAGATCCCTCAGTTGCTAGGAGTTTCTAAGGCTGTCCTTGAAAATGTCATCTTCTGTCACCAAGAAGATTCTTACTGGCCCTTGGCGGAACCTTCGACGTTAAAGAAGAAATTTGATGATATTTTTGAGGCTACGAGGCAAGTGATTTCGTCATGGGCTATCGTTGAGGGAATTGCGTTTTTCTTGGACGAGAACACACCATTCCGTGACCTTAAGGAGGGGGCCAACGTGGATGCATTCCCGTTGCATGTTTTCAGTCGCGAAATGGAATTCAGACCTCTAGGCTTCTCGCCCAAGAAAATCGAAACTTAATCACCAGCTACAGTGCTGATATAGCTCTGCAGGTACACCAAAGCTCTCGACTCCATCAAGACTCTACGAAAGGAGCGTGTTGCCGATCTCAAGGCCGAAAAAGAACATCTAGAAGGTCTTCGTCGCGAAAAAGGCCACGCGGACAAGCTTCGAAAAACTATATCTGATTTGAATTCTACGATTGCTAGCAAGGAGATTGAGTATGACGAAACCAAGAAGAAATATGATGAGATCGTAGTGGCCAATGCCAAGTTCTACGAGTATTCTCTCAAATTCCGTGAGGTCTTCAGTGAAGCCGAATCGTCAACAAAGAACAAAGCAGTACTGGAAGAGCAGCTTCGGGATGCCAAGATGAATCTCCAGACTGAGCTTCCTGGTATATATTTGTATCCTTATCCATCTCCATATTCCATGTTGATCGTTTGAAAGGTAGCGAAGAGGATCTAAAGCAGGAGCGGAACAATCTCTCAAGCGAAATCGAGGCCGGAAAACAGAAGAGAGATCGAGAGCAGAATAACCTTCGCGACCTGGAAGATGACGTGGCCAATAAGCGCAAAGAACATACTAAGCTGGCTAGCGAACGGGGCCAGCTCATTGCTGAGGCTGAAGTAAGTCTCTGTACTTCTTTCTTCTCCCGTATCAACTTCTACAGAGCCAAAAACAACGTATTGCCGATCGTGAACAATTAATTTTTGAAATAAGCGAAAAACACGGAATAAAAGGATTCAGCCACTCGCCTTTGCAAGGTAGCGATATTCAAGCCTTTATTTCTCGTTTGGTAGATCTGCAAAGGTCGCATAAAGCTGCTGTCAATAAACATAAGGTATGACATGCACAGGTGGTAATGTTGAACCTCGTACTACCCGTCTTTTAGGCCGAGCTAGCTGAAAAACGCGATGAATATACCAAGAAGCACATGCAACTTACGAGTCAAGCAGAACAACACAAAGCGACGCGAACCAGTTTGCAGGAACAGATTGTACGTGGCTCTCTTCTCCCCTTACCCATTTCTCTCTCATGTTGTCTCAATAGGCGGAGCAGCGGAAGAAGATAAGAGAAGATGAGCGGTTCTTGGATAGTTCCGAGAATTATGAGATAGAGCTCACCACCATGAAAGACAATATTGAGGATAAGAGGAGACGACTGGAGAAGCTGAAGAAGAGCCTCAATGAATCTGATTATGATGGACAATTGGCTGAGAAAGCCACCCAGGCGCAGGATCTTGAGCGCCAGCGTGAGTCTCTCAGTGGCGAGCTGACTTCATTAAGTAACCAGGCTGAAGCACGCGTTGCTCTGGATCTCAAGAGGGGAGAGGTCAAATCGAAGACCGCCGACATGAAGCATGCGTAAGTCATTGCAGGACCCCGAGCTTCATTTACTGATTTCGTCTACTAGGATCGACAACATCAACGAGAAGTATCGTGCCCTTACCAAGAAAAACGCGAACACAAATACTGTAGGGACTGATGTGGACCGACTCTTGACGTGAGTTTCATTGTTGGTCGACAAAGAAGTTTGTTGCTGACCGTATCTTGTCAGCGAGAAGGAAACCGAATGTGTTGAGTTGGAAGCTAAAGCTGGTAGCGCCAACCAGACGCTGCAACATGCAGAGGCCACATTTTCCAATCTGCAAACCCAGCTAGAAAAGAAGGAAGCTGAGCTGAAGAGTATGTTGATCACGACTTTTCATAAATAAGTACTGATATATATGTGTAATGTGCGCAGGGGTTGAAAAGATTCTAGCAGAAAATCTTGACCAACCGCTGGAAAAGGCGATCGCGGATGTCAATTCCGAGCTGAAATTCCGAAATTCGTAAGAATTCGTTTCGTGCTTGTTTCTCTCATGGCTTCATGATGCACAGACAAGTTGGATCCTACCAGGTATACGAGAGCCTGTATGACATCGGAAAGGAGTCCCAAAGATGTTCTGTGTGTGACCGTCACATGGATGCCAAAGTGTTTGCAACTTTTGAGGCATTCGTAAGTCCATATCGCGGTGGTTTTGAAGCTTGATTGAAGACGCCAATTCCCTTCTAGCTTAAATCTCAAATGACGAAGAGTGCCGATGTGTCCATTGAAAATGAACGGGATCAGATTAAGGAATGGCAAGGCGAGCTGGAGCGGTTGCAAGCTCTAATGCCCATTGAGAATACCAAGAAGCAACTGAAGATGAAGGATATTCCCGCGTTGCAAGATGAGATTGAGGAGGTGGAGGACAAGGTAGCTGACGCTACTACCAAGGCTGAGAAGGTTTGAAAAATGTCCAAGAAGAACACATACTGAAGGACGCCTACTGATGTATTTATAGGCCGAACAAGAACTTGTGGTCGTCAAAAAGCAAATAAAAGACATTCAAGGCCTACAGATTACTGCCAGGAACGTCTCTCGCCTCCAAAAAGAAATTGGGCACGCAGAGGAAGATGTGGAAAGCTACGAAAAAGAACTAGCTGCCACCGGCACCACCAAGACAATGCGTGACGTTCAGAACGAGCTGGATGAGATATCCACGAAGATGTGAGTATTCGCTTCTCCTTTCTAACTCCAGTCGTCTCACGAAATCGGACCTAGCCATGCACTCGACCGGGAGAAGTCGCAGATAATAAAAGAGAAGGATCGCCAGAATAACCTGTATCGTGCTATCGAGGGCGATGTTCATAAGATGGAGAAAGACGAATGGGACCTTCAGAACAAGATCAAGGAAAGGGAGGATACTCATAAGCGGGTGGAGTCTATGAAAGAAAGCATAGAGACATTCAGTAAGAGAGTCAAGGTATGTCAAAATTCCGATGACTTCTGGTTGTAATATATGACTGATGTTTTGTGTTCAGGATGCCGACGCTCAGTTAACGGAAGCTCAGGGACCCATCGATGCCCTCGAAGCAGACTTCAAGGTCACTGAGCAGACTCTGAACGCCCAAATCACTGAAGCCCAAAGTAATGTGCAAGCATCCAACCAGAGCAACGACAGACTGGAAAGCATTCACAAGGATGTCGAGAGGTACACAGATCACGTACAGCATCTGATTTTCGTTCTAATTCAAGTCTGATTCCTAGGTATGTCACGCAAAGGCGAGCGCAGAAACTTGCGGAGAACGAGAGGAAGAGCGAACAGGCCGACCTGGATATCAAAGAGTGCATGGACAGCCTGCAGAAATCCCGCGACTCGATCACCCGACTTGATCGGGAAATCGGTGGTGGGGATGCGAAGAGGGCGAACTTGCAAGAGAACATACGCATAAGGCAGCTAGCGCGACAGGTCAAGGCTATACAGGATAAAATCGATGGGCTCGATTTGGAGGCGGCTGCTAGAGCGCGAAGGAATTTCGAGGAGAAGTATGGGCCTGAGAAAGAGAAGGAACAGAAATTACAGGCGTCGGTGTGTCGTTTAGAATCAAACTCTATCTTCGTTTTTCTGACTTTGTGATTGAAGTACTCCCATATTGCTGGAGAGTTGAGTTCTCTGAGGGCCCAGCTGAAGCAATCGGAGAAGGATATGAAGGAGTTCAAGGAGATTGACACCAGATATACTGATCAATTGGTCAAAGTGAAGGTGTGTGGTTATGGCAGTGTGCGAATTGGTTGGTACTCATTGCATCTGTCCTCAGATGTCGGATGTAGCCAACAACGACTTGGAGTTATATGCCAAGGCTCTGGACAAGTGCGTGTCTCCTCCGGCGTAGCCACGACACCTAATTTTGATTCTATGACAGCGCCATCATGAAATACCACGGTCTGAAGATGGAAGAAGTTAACGACACAATGAGGCATCTTTGGAATAGGACCTACCAGGGAACAGGTATGTATGTAGCCTGTCTCTCTGACTGATGCTGATTGCTTGAAACAGACATCGATGGTATCAAAATCCGCTCGGACGTCGAGGGCGGCGCTTCAAAACGTTCCTACAATTATCGCGTACGGCATTCCCCCCCTCCCTTGTCCGCTGGTACCTATCCTGACCTCAACTATAGGTGGTGATGACGAAAGACCAAGTAGAGATGGACATGCGTGGCCGCTGCTCCGCTGGCCAAAAGATGCTCGCATCCATCATCATCCGTCTGGCCCTCTCCGATTCCTTTGGTCAGAATTGTGGTATTCTGGCGTTGGACGAGCCGACGAACGCTTTGGATAGGGAGAATATCGACGCGCTGGCTGATAGTCTTGTGGAGTGAGTCGTCACAACATATGTCGGTCGATGCTAAACGAGTCATAGCATCATCAATGAGCGGAAACACCAATCAAACTTCCAGCTTATCATTATAACACATGACGAGACGTTCCTTGCAAAGCTCGGGCAGAATAACATTATGCAGCATTATTGGTATGTGGATTGAGCTGTCCGTCTTGCTGATATTCTTATGATCTCTTTCCCCCTTCGTAGGCGCGTCTCGAGAGATGCTCGGCAGAAATCTATAATTGAGCGGCAGAATTTCTCGGCATCATGATATGATATTTCTTTGCTTCATCTATACTTTTTTATGGCTATTGTATACTAACTAATCGTGTATTCGTCTACTGTCAACAACGAAAGAACTCCTAGGAATACATGGTAGGTAATACCGGTGTAGAAGATACGGATATTATTAGTTTACTCTTGTTTACCTACACCTTTCACCGCGCCATTGTCCTCCTGTATCCGGATCCTCACAACTTACCCTTTTACCACCATCTTACTATTTTGTATCTTGACTCTCTGCTTGCAATACACCCCATTGGCATGTGTATATCTTGGGTCAAGGAACCTCATAAGGTGTAGTAATTCTTACATTGAGCCTGGCTTCAGGAGTCATTCAGATTCAATAAGCATCCTAGAATAGAACTTGTGCATATGAGCTCCGGTTAGTGCATGATATCCCTCTGGCTTCATATTATTATTAGATGACTGACAAATGATTTAGTTGTTCACAGTTCATCAATGGACACTGTGACTGATCTCTTCTACTGAGTTGCTGATGTCAACCAACTTGGGCCAACTATTTATGCTTGTTTTACCCAGCGTAAAGATGGATTCCAGGGGTAGGGAGTATTTTCGTAGGCCTCCGCACAAATCCCCAAAACACACTCTGACTTGGCTAACATGAAGCTCTACTTTGTCCATGAAGATGAGCCATTGGTGCTGTCTCAGTTTCAGTGCCAAAGATTGGCTGAAGCTGATTCATGAGAGACATTGGTGTTGATGTCTCAGACTTATCCCCATCTTCATCCCGCACCCCCAAGTGAGATGAGCTCCACTCTTTCACCATCAGTCATGCTCTAACCATAGATTCCAGGCATCAAGGCTTTGCCTCTTTTATTTATTGTCAGCTAATTCTCATTGCCTGGTGAGACTCTGCCTTCACTACCAGCTTATAAAAGCTCACCCATAGTCTCCTAGCCTCATCACTTCTAACTAGTTTTTCTTATTGAGTTCTATTGCATTCTTCAGACTGAGGGCTGTCAAGCTCTTGTAATAGCCAAATTGCATTCCACTTTCAGGGCAAGCAGCAGAGATCAGCCAAACTTGGCCCATGTGAGTGACTCCATCATTGCTGATCAGCTGACAAAAAACAAAAACAAAGATATATAGACATTACATTGTCTCATCTTAAAGAATATGAGTATCTTAGCAGCTCTTTTTATTTCTAGTATACTGACAGTACTTTATAGCAAGAATAGAAAAGTTATTTGACAAATACCCTCAAGCTTATAAGGCAATAGGAATCTCATAGATTGTTATCAACAATGTATGGTAATACATAAGTACTTGTCAAATAACTGAACTGTTCTAGGAAAAATACAGCTATATATATTCTGCATCATAGGCAGATACTCTGGGTCTGTACTATTGACTGCATCAAAGATACACTCTGTTGGTGCTTCATAAGCATCTTGTTAGACATAGGAATCATATGATATGCACATATTCACTTATCTATTTGATATTCCTTCTTTTTTCAGCATATCACACCATTCTGCACATCTCAGCTTTCAACCATAACACTGAGATGTGAGTACCTTCTATACATATCTATCCTTGATCATATTTACTTGTCACCTATGTAGTAATGTTATGATGTTTTATTCTAGATAAATAACAAAGCTTTCAACCATAATGCTGAGATTAACATTATGACATTTTATCTTAGCATCTGTTCTCTTCCAAAACTTTTTTTCTCATTCACCACATTCACACTTCTACCTCATTAACTCCAACAGACTATGGGCTCTGCTACCAGCATGTCCATGACAACTGAAATAAAGCTAGTTAGCATGACAAAGCTTGTGAATGATGGATTGAATTGGATAGCATTTTCAGAGAAGCTTACCATCAAGTTCCTGGACAAGAGCCTTGGCTGGCACCTCTAAGGAACAGCTCAAATACTCCTGCACTCTGTTGAGCACAAGAGAAACTTCTACTGATCCTCTGATACTGCATTTTCACATTCATTCTCAGATGACAATCTAGATAAGCTGGAGGAATATGAGCAGAAAGAGGCAAAGATGCATAATATCATTTATAAAGCCATTTCTGACTCTACCTTCAATGAGATCAAAGGCAAGGCAACAGCTGCTCTTGTCTAGAAGAAGCTCATCACTGTCATGACTGGCAAAGGCTGTTATGATTTTTCCACTTTTTATTTTTCTTTCTTTGAAGTTAACCTCTATTTATGCTTAGTCAGAGCACCTAAACCAGCACTTAAGACCATGAGACAAGCTTAGTCATCACAACAGGCTTAGTTGGTCATTGTCTTTCAATGCAACAGCATTGCTTGGTGATGCACAATGAATCTTTTGTATACAGTAATGATGCCCAAGAACAATGGGCACAAAGGACTCAGCAATGCACAATAGGCAGTAGTATATTTATCTCTGACATGTACAGTATATAAAGAGGCTTGCTCTCACTGGTAATCCCCAGCTTTAAGCTAAAGTTTATTCACCTTATTCTACTCTCAAGCTACTCCTAAAGGCCTTGAAGCATATTGGTCAATAAAGCACAACAAGTGAACTCTAGTGAAAGTGTCAAATGTGAAGGCATGCTAGTTTATCATGTTTCTGATCATATGTGGCTTGAGTCTAATAAAGGTGATCTCATGTGAGAGCATCTTTTTACTCAGCTTGGAAATATAGCATGCTTTGATGAAGGCAATATATGTAAGCACCTTGCTGAAATGAAAATCCTCTATAAATAAATTGAAGGAATGAGCCTGAAGATTGAAGACAATCAATACACTTCAATGATCCAAAAATCACTTCCATCTTCCTATGATTATATCTATTACACTCTCTCCACTGCCAGCAAGTTTACTGGAAAGACTCTGACATCAGACATCCTAGTTGCAGCTCTGCATGAAGAATAGAATGAGATTGCATCAAAGGCTACTGCTGAAAACATAGCAATGTCTGCTTAATGGTAAAGCAAAGAAAAGGGCCAGAGCTCTGGAGAGAAGTCAAAGAAAAGACCTGATCATTCTCATCTCAAATATATAAATCTAGCATGTGGTAAAACTGGCCATCTCATTGCAGATTGTTAGTGTGAAAATGGTGGAAAGGCAGGACAAGGCCTAGCTTTGAAAAAGAACAAGACTAAGGAGAAGAAAAAAGTAAAAGAGTCAGCATCAGCAGCTATTGATAAAAGTGATAATGAACATGTTATCACCATCATAGCTGATGACAATAATCACAAGAATATGGCATTGATATGCACATCTGACTATAGAGCTGAGAGTGACAGCTATATGGCAAAAGGGGAGAATATTATAGCATTAGCAGATTGTGGAGTGTTGAAAACATACTCATCTGAACATCAGAGATTCAAAAACTATACCAAAATTGAATCAAAGCCTATCAAAGCTGTGAATAGCCAAGTTTTCTATACAATAGAAAAAAGAGATCTTTAACTACCACTTTCCATGGGAAAGAGACAGAAACTCACTATTGTGAGTTTTCAAAATGCATATCATGCACTGAAAATGGCCTACACCCTTATATCACTCTTACAAGTCAGTTATGCTGGATTTTCTATTTATATTGAACCCTCTGACCACACTATGTATATCTGCACACCATGGCCAGATGCTAAGATCATTGCAAAAATCTCTGAAGCTGGTGGCTTATATATAATCTCAATCTCAAATGCACAGCAAACTATGACAGCCAAACCAGATATCACTATAATGGCAGATAAGCTCAAAGTGAATATCATCAAGCTACATAATATTTGTGCTCACTAAAGTCACACCACTCTTTGCCACATGTATGTCAATAATCATATCAAAGGAATCAAGCTTGATTTTAACTCTAAACCAGAATTTTATGAGACCTATGTGAAGGCCAAAGCAAAGCACAAGCTATTTTCAAAACAAAGCTAATATAAATATGTCAAAAATAGTGGTGATAAGGTTGTCAGAGACCTGATGAGCCTGATGTCTGTAGTATCACTAGAGAGAGCTGTTGAAGTAGCACACCCTCTATGTTGCTCTTATCTTATATAATCATAGCTACCAATACTGGAGATTGAAAGTCAATGCTTACCAGCTTTTGACCTTTGACTCCAGACCTGGCTTTTCCTGCTGTACTATGCAATCTGCTTTCAACAGGTTATAAGTCCCATGCCTTACTAAGCTAAGCAAATTTTTCATTTCCTCTCATGAACCATTCACTAGATGTTGAAGTCTTGCTCACTTTTCTAAGAGACATCACTATCCATTTGGAAGTTGCATCCACTCATCACAGGCTTCCACACACTCTTTAATCTCAATGGTCTCCTTTTTTTCTCACACCATGATGAATGACTCAGATGTCATTGACACTATCAAACATGGCTTTTCCAATCTCCATGCTGGCAACTGAAACCACTTTGCATTTTTGTTTGAGGCCTATATGTATATCAAGAGGCTATTTGGCCACTTTGATAGCACTGAGGAGCCACTAAAGCAAGCCAATCTCAGTGAATCCACAAAGCTTAAAAAGAAGAAGACAAAAGCTTATCTTCAAGCTTGTTCATCTGCAGCAGGATACCTCTGACTTTGCATTGATGAATCACAGCATACTCATATCAGTCTCCTTATAGGTAAGCTCACAGCTATGTGGTTAAAACTGAAAGACATTCACCAACAGCAAAAACTGGACACTCATTTCAATACCTATGACATCTTATTCAGCATTCAGAAGGATGATAAAGAGTCTCTCTCTACTCTTATTAGATGTGTCTCACAAGCTATACAAGACATCAAAGCACTCTGCCTCAAAAAGTTCACCATCAATCAACTCAATGAAGAGCTTCAATTCATGACTCTCATCTGTGTCCTTCTATCTGATTATGACAATTTTGTGTCATTGGTCCTTCTTCTCCATTCTCTCAGTCTTGACAAACTCATTGCTGTCTTTCACACTAAAAAGATGCAGTATTGCTCTTGTGATATCACTTCAGCAACATCATTCAAAGTGAGTGCTGTCAGAGTCTAAGCCACTCATGTGGCATCATCTGATACCACCTGTAGCTGGTGCACCAACTCTGGACATACTGAGAAGAAGTGTTTCAGCAAAAAGAAAGCCAAGAAGCAAGCTATACAGTGTGTTCAGGAATGTCAGAATACAAAATCAAGCAAGAAAGTAGGAGAGGCAAAGACAGAAAAGTCAAATATTACAGAAGAGACTGCCAGCCAAGTGAGTATTGATCTCTTGTCTCCAGCATCATCTAACTAGAATATGGACACAGGTGCTTCATCTCACATAAGCCATTATCAAGATGGGTTTCATGTCTGGACACTATATGTGGTTCTAATTTGGTTAGTAGACAATTTTATCATCTATTCAGTGAGCATGAAGACAGTTGTGTTTGAACCTAAAGAGAAGAATAGAGAGGTCTGTGAGGCTGTCAAGTTCCAGAATATACTACATGTATCTGATCTTCAAAATAACTTGCTTTCATCCTTCCATCTTACATGTCATAA